AACTATAACATAAATCTTCAGGAGAAATGTTTATTATGATCTTGACCTTACCAGTGTCTTGTAAAAACCATTAGCACCAGTCAATTAACTTGAATCTGCTGCTTCATGCTGAAAAAATTAAATTTTGTCCTTGCAAATTTTTACTCCATCATCTCTTCAGATTCTGTGACTTTGCTGTAACAGATTCAGGTGAGGGGCCTGAAGCATCTCAGTTGCACTGACCAGTACTTTGTACATGGCATGCTCCCAGTCCTGTGGTGCTTGATTTCGTGCATGGCTGCAAGACGCCCTTTTGCATAGGGCACATGTCCACTGATACACACTGAACACTCCCTATATGGATGGGAGGCTACTGGAACAAAGAACTATTGATCTAGGTTTAAAAGAGGAAGACTAGGATCAGTGTACCTGCTTCAGCAGCCTGTGAATTTTCTCCTTTGCCACTAAAAGCCAAAAAACCATAGGCCAGTTCGGCTAGACAGATCAAAGGTCTTCACTGTGAACAAGCTGAGATAGTTTGTCATAAAAGATTAGTTTTTATACTTACTTTGAGATTTCCAAAGATTCTAATTAGTGATGTTGTCCTAAGCATTGTGATGGTACCTAGGAAATTAGTCTGAATTGGATCTCTTTCTGCTGGATGGGATTCATTACAAAAAGATTGTTTTCCTTGCAAGATATCCAAAGGTTCATCTAAACTAGCTAACACATTAAATACTCTGGTGTGCATGTTGTGTTTTCAAAACATATTACTTAAACAGTGTTATTTTCTTTCTAATATTGAAGAGCTCTGACAATGTCACTTGGCTGTGTCACTCTCAGAAGCTATAGAAGATATGTAGTGTTTAGCCAGCTTTTTACACTGTCTAATTTTGTGCTGGCAGGCTGAATTCCTGAGGTATGTTAGATGAGTCTCAGAGCTGCCTTAATTTATGCTAGCCCAACCATTTCCTTCTGCGCCATTTCACAGGTGCAGGATCAGCAGAGCAATTCATGTTTCACTTTCTGACTGCCCCTGCTCAGTGTCTTACCAGAATTTATCCCTGAATTCCCAGCAAGGGAACAAATGCTGCCACCAAGCTTAAAAAAGCTTTATTGATCTGAGAAAGCTCAGAGATCTGCACAACACAAACCGCAGCTACATCCCTCTACCACACTGCTTGCATGTGATCAAAATCTTCACTCTCAATTTTAGTTCCATCAGGCCACATAGTAGGACAGAAGGTTGCATCTAGTTCCTTCCCAGAGGTTCAATCTCTTTTGATTTTGTGTTCTGGAATGAAAATGTGGTCTCAAACTCTTAATCTGAAAGAAACCATTCAATTTCCTTGCAGGTTTTTCCTGGTATAAAGATACAATCTAGCTGCCACATTGTTGTTGCTCTGGAGTTTAAGTGGACACTCAGATAAATAAAAGTGACACCTGCCGCAGGCCAGTTCCCATCTCTATTTGATTATGTTGTTTTCTTACAGAAGATTTTTGATGGCTGTAGCTAATCTAGAAACTTAAGTGTGATAATTGAACAAATCAGTTTAGTTGGGCATCTGATTCTGTGCAAACCTAAGTGGAATAGTAATGTGTGACTAATACACAACAGCACTTTGCATAAGATAAAGATTCATGTGTAACATATGCAAGCCCAAGATACTGTGGGAAGAAAACACCAAAGATATTGAACAGGATGTATGTGCTACTCCTCTACTCCAAAGTTCACCCTTTTCCTATACAACAAACAGTGCTGTAAGGACAGTGAAGCAGGACCTTCATTCTCTGAGGTGAGATCCCATTGTTCTCTCTTCCTTGTTTTCCACTCTGGAAACACGTGAGAAACTTCTCACTCCTGATCCAGCTGAACTGACCTTAGATCATCAGCCTGCTGATAAGCCAGCAGGCTCATTTCAAAGGAAAATATGGGATGCTGCAAATCTTGTTTTCTGTTATGTAACAATAATTGTGTGTCATGCAAGGAAAAAAAAAAACAAACCAAAAACCCAACTTTTTTTTTTTTTGTGCAAATATAAAATCATTAGATGTTCACAACTCTCCAGCCTTAATTCTGAGTCTGCATATGTTGCTATTTCATTTTATGCCTCTTAGGCTGAAAAAAAAGACTATAAAAAGGATTTAGGCACAGATATTTTTCACTGGCATAGCCAGGGAATGGTGAACAGTTGGTCAACAGACTTGGAGCCACTGAAGAATGTCCTAGGACATGACCTGTTTTAAACAACAGCCCCAGAAATGCCGAATATCTACACTCAGGTCTGTGAATCAGCTGCAGTAACTTCAATGGGTCCAAAGATACTAAGACTGTCCTGCAGCAGTGAGACATCACACGTGTGAGCCAACAAGCAATGGCAGAGTTGTCACACCAGAATGGACCAGCTGTCCATTCAGGTATCTTCAGTCCAGCACAAAACGTGCCACGGCCACTGCTGAGCCGCCAGCCTGTGGAGCGGGTGCTGCAGGAACATGGTGCAGCAGCTGCAGTGCCACTGCCGCTGGTGGCTCTGCACGGGAAAGCAGCACTGAGGTAGCTGCGGGAAGAACAGCTCTGGTGAGACCCCACCTGCATCCACTTCTGGGCTCCACAACACGGGAAGGACATGGACCTGTTGGAGTGAGTCCAAATGAAGGGCACCAAGTTAATTAGTGGGATGGAGCACCTTTCCTTTGAGGAAAGAGTAAAAGAATTGGGACTGCTCAGCTTGGAAAGAGGGTGTTAGGCTGACCCAATTGTGGCCTTCCATTATCTGAAGGGAACCTACTGGAAGGCTGGAGAGAGACATTTTGTAAGATTATGTGGTGATGGGATATGAGGGATTGATGTCAAATGCAGAGAGAATACGTTGAGATTAGAGATCAGTAAAAAATTCTTTGCTGTGAGGGTAGCGAGACACTGGAATAGGTTGACTAGAATAGTTGTGCATGACCCATCCATGGAGGCGTTTAGGGCCAGGTTGAATACAGCTCTGAGCAATGTGATCTAGTGGAAGATGTGCCTGTCAGCGCCGGGGGATTGGAAGTAGGTGATGTTTCAGCTCGTTTCCCACGCAGGCCATTGCACGATTCCGAGAGCCGGCTGCGGCGAGGCCTGGGCGGCGCGGCCGGGGCTGCGCTGACACCTGGCGGGCGGCGCGGGCACTGCACGGCCCGGGGGCCCCGACCGCGCCCCGCAGCGCCCTGTGAGCCTGTACCCTGCTGCGTTCCCTAGGCGTGCGACAGAGTTAGCTTTCTTCCAAGTGGCTCTTCTTTGGATTTGTGCTGAACGCAGGGTTGACGATAGAGAGATGTGTTTGTTATTGCTAGTACAGAGCCAAGGCCTTGTCTGCTTTCCGTACTGCTAAGCTGGTGAGGAAGCTGGGAGGAGACTCAGCCAGGACAGATGACACCAGCTGATCAAAGGGATATTCCAGATCATGGGACATCGTGCTCAGTATGGAAAGTGGGGGGAAGCAGGAGGAGGGGAGGGATGTTTGGCGTGATGGAGTTTGTCTTCCCAAGTCACTGTTACATGTGATGGGGCTCTGCTCTCCTGGAGATGGCTGAACATCTGGCTGCCATAGGAAGGAGTGAATCTTTTCCTTGTTTTACTTTGCTTGTGTGCGTGGCTTTTGTTTTCCCCATTAAACTATCTTTATTTTTAGCTTTTTACCTTTTAGCTTTTTACCCTTCCAGTTCTCTCCGTGACTGCACTAGTGGGGGAGTGAGCAAGTTGCTGCTTGGGGCTTGATTTCTGGCTGGGGTCCATACCAACCCTAACCACAACAGCTTCTACAAAAATGTACCTCGGTGTTCAGCAGTAGTCAAGAAACAGTAATGACTTTTCAGGAATGATTAGGAAAAGAATAGAAAACCCCCCAGTCTTATACCCCTGCATGTGCAAACTGGCCAGCATTTAAAATGCTGCTCTGATCCTTCATCTCAAACCCCCACATATTCCACAGGTGAAGGTGGCACTGACTGCAATTGCAAGGCAATTCTGGAAGAGTCACAGGCATCAGAGGACACAGACCTGCTGGGGTAATGAGCTAAGGCCTTCTGAAGGCTACTGAGCAGATATTACCAATGCCGTCATGCCAACAGTCATCTTGACCTCTGATTAGGCACTGGAGATACCTAAACTCTATCAAAGGTTTCAAGATATATCAAAGATTTTTTTTTCTGCATGGGAATCTCATTGGGAAAGAGAGACTTATCAGATTGCAACTAGCTTCTTTCCTTTCCACAGAAAGCTGATCTTCCCAAAGTGGCCAACATTTTCCAGTTTGTCAAAATTTTTGTTGTAAAGTCTATGTTGGCAGTTGGTCACATGGCAAAATTTATTTCCTGTACAATATTAGCATTTTCTAGATTATATTTTAAAAATAAATATTACTATATGCAAGGCTTTAATTCCTTCTTAAGAACTGAAAAAAAAAATATTGTTGGTTTAAAAAAAGTATGGTGTCTAAGCCAATCTGTTATGTCTCCCATTTTTCTAACATATTTTTTCCGCAGGGAGATATTAAAGAAAATATCTATCACCCATAACTTTTTAAGCAACATGAGCTGTTGTGTCTCATGAATTTATTTTTTTCTCTTGCAAAGGTCCCTGTGTCAGATCTACTAAGGTGACAGGGGATGACTGACAGCCCTTACCTCAGTGTTTGTCCATGTGCTTTACCTCAAAAGGAGATAATAACAATATATGAGTGTTTTCATTTCCCAATTCCCACTTTTTGACTTCATCTTTGTAAATAAGTTCATCACTGTCAGCATACAGAGCAAGACAGATTTGGTAACCAGATTCAAAGGACCAATCCTTCCTTAGTGGAAAGAGACCAAACTGTATAGGAACCTGCTGTGTAATGGAACATCAGCTTCATTTTTACATTCAATAACTTAGACTGTCATAGATCCCTAGTGTTGGGCCTCCCCAAGCCCAGAGCCACTCTGAGCTTTCTTTCAGTGGTTCTCATACAATCTTGCATTGTCTGACCTGCTTCCTTGCTTCATTTTTATGCCTCTTCTCTTTCTTCCTCTATTTCCCCTTCCACAGGCTTCTGTGCTGTCTCTTGGTCTTTTAGTGACTGGTTGAAAAGAAGTGAACCAGTATTATTCTAGTAAAGTGAACCTTCTCTGTCAGATATCTTAAAGCTGCTGAGAGGACCTTGAGGAAACAGCCTGATGTAGGAACAGTAAGGACAGCAAAGATCACAACTCTTCGGACTCTTGTCTGCAAGGTCAATATTACAATGTCACACATGACACAGTGCTAAAATGCATCAAGAAGCTAGATAAGAGGTATATATCCATATCTATTTTTCCCCTTATATCAATTCTGCCATGTTAAGGACACCAGATGAAGTCTTTTCTGGCCACTGGGTTTCAACAGTTTTATCTGCTTTCTGCTAAACCACAGGTCTGTAAGTTGTGCCTGAAGTACTTGGGAATCCCATGTAACCTCTGACTCAAGGTTAACCAGGCTAAAGCACATCTGAGCATGGATGCTTTTAGTATGGTACTGCTATTTGTGAAGGAATAAAGACTGGACCCAACAAATTAATTTGCTTCTCTTTGAAAACATTAGGAGGCTAAGAGAAAAATTGACCCATTGCTTCTAGCTATAAAACTAGACTACAGCATATATTTAAACTCGTTGGTATGTGCTGAGGTATGGGAATATTTGGGCATGATTAACAGGGCTTTCAGCTGATGAGTCACATGTCAGAACTGACTGAAAATCTAGAGGGACTTTTGGGTCCAATGACAAGCAGTTTAGCCTGCAGCGACTGACAGCTTCTTAGGAGATTGCTGCTGAATGCTCAGGCTCTCAGAACTTGGACATGATTGCTACAGGCACTAAGGAAGAGGCACTTTCAAGAGAATAAAAAGTTCTGTAGTGTGAAGGTGGATTTCCAGGGAAAAGTAGGTCTCCTAAGAAGAGGAATCAGAGAGAAGGAAAAAAACCAAGAGTCCCCGAGGATGGAGGAGAAGTTCTGACAGCACAGATATGCTGTCTTTGCAAATCTTACTTTGGCTGCAGGGGGGATAGTGTTGTGCTGATGCTTCTCATCTTAGGTTTAGGATGAATGAAAATGCCATTCAGCTCTGAGATTCCTGCAATATTCCCATGGCAAGTTTAAAAATTGTAAAATAAGACTTGTAGTTTGATTCAATAGAACTTCTAAGCATACAAGCTGTTTTTTTGTTTACCTTTTATATGCATAAGTAGGATTCTCATGGCAAGTTTATAAAATTGTAAAATAAGACTCGTAGTTTGATTCAACAGAACTTCTAAGCATACAAGCTGGTTTTTTGTTTACCTTTTATATGCATAAGTAGTGGACTGGCCAAAAACATACGTCCCTTCACATCCTAAGATGAATAAGGTTATGTTTATTTGGTGTCAAGCTGAATTAAAGAAAGAAAGACAAACCAGGAGTCATTCACCTGTAATCCACAACTGCTGTCTAATTCCAGTCTAGATTGTGCACTAGTTTGCCAATTTGGACTCAGTTCAGTGGGATGCTTTGTTGGTAAGAGGGGAAGTGCTAGGAAACCTGGCTAATTTTAAGCAGAAAAATTCTCCCTATCAGAGTGGGGCCTGGCTGTCTTCTAATAGGTGAGCAGATGGCCTGGTGCAAGGAGGAAGAGAGACAGAAAAAATCCAGAATGGTGGTAGGAAGGCAATTTCAGCCTTAAAAAAAATTATTATTATTATTATTATTATTATTATTATTATTATTATTATTATTATTATTATTATTATTATTATTATTATTATTATTATTATTATTATTACCTCCATTATTACCATTATTACGATTATTATTACTATTATTATTATTATTTTTGTTTTTGCAAAAGAACATCATGTCTGGCTGATCATTGCTACTGATCCAAGCACCACAGTGGTTTTGGCAGGAAGACAACTGTCTACTCCATTGTACAGCCGAGGGTTTAGATGCCTATTTTTCACTTTCCCATAGCAGTAAGACTTAAGAGTCTATCTATATCCTCTATATCCTATACAAACAGTGGCTGTCTGTGATATTCTAAAGTTGGTCCATTATCGTTGATGCTATCTACACTATTTATTGGGTGTCATGGCAGTTCTGTTGGTCTCATTCTGGGCTCAACATTTGCTATGAGTGAATTTTGCTTTTTAGCCTTAACAATCACAGAATAGTCTGAGTTGGAAGGGACCCAGAAGCGTGATGATGTCACCAGCAAAGCTGGCTGGTGGCTGTGCTGCAGCAGAGAGGTTTCCCTAGAGCAGTAGCCCACCAGAAGAGCATTCTGACCATGCTTTCAGAGGCACACTTGCATCATGGCTTTCCAGAAGGCTGCCACAGGAATCTTCATGTTTCCATCCTTATCAATATTCCCAAAGAAGTTCTCAGAGTTGTAGGTTGTGCTCTTTCAAAGAGTTCTGTTGGAAACAGAGATAAAACACGGGCACGACCGTGAAACAGCCACTGATACCTGCCTCCAGCTCTCCTCTTATTCTTCCATCACCCTGCTTTTATTCAGCCCATCACTGAGAGATATGAGTTCTCAACTCCTTGTGCAGTCAGACTTTTGTAAGAACAAAGACCTTTTGTTCAGGTTAATTCCATTCTTCTCAGTTGTATCTCCTTCTCTCCCCCTACCTTGAAATAAGACTCAGTAGTAAACCTGGATTTTTTTTTCCTTATAATTGCATATGCTTATTTGGTCCTCATCCCAGCAGCCACTGCTTGGCTAGGCTGTCTAATCAAGACAGTTCTGTCCCCCAGATCTTTGATCACTTTAGTTACTCTTCTCTGAATTCTGCTTCTGTTTGAATGAGAATACCTGAATACCATAATGGCTATTAAAAACGGCAAAGCATGGTAGTGCAAGTGTCACTAGCTGTGAAGCACAGCAGCATTGTTTGATGTGAGCTAACAGCCCAAGCCTTTGCTTAAGTTCATCTGAAGCCTTATCCACCGCTAATTCTCACCCAATTAGCTGAAAATCTGCACAGCAGTTGAGAAACAGTGAAGCTGGTAGTGCAAGTGTTATCTAGCTCAGCAAGCTTCAATTGCTTGCGTTGGCTTCCAGAAAGGAGGACAGCACCATCTGCTGCTATCCATGGAAACTGCAGACCTTGAAAAGCTGAGAAATGTCTGAAATTTTCCATCTGAAAATACCCTGTCCTTATAATGCCATATCCTACTTTTATGAAGCGCATTAATTTTGATGATAAAGCAAAACTGTCAGAGAAGTGTTTTATGAAAGTCAGCTACTGGGATGGGCTCGTGATGAGGATCATTTGCATCATACCTGAAATCAATCCATTTGTTTTACACAGCAAGCAAGTATCTATTCACGTTCGTTTTTTCTCCCTCAGTGCTCTAAGATCCCGAGGCAATACCTTCTCCAGAAGATCAAAGGCTTTGCTTAGTCAGTCTGTGTGTACTGAGATGTGTAAACATTGTGATTCTCTTTGTACATTTACTTTTCTGAAGGAATTCGGCTGAATTCCTCACATGAAAGAAAACTTACCCCTTTGAACTTCCATCCCTCCAAGTGTCCACAGCATGTGGTACTGTGTACAGGGAGCTAAGGACACAATTTGGTAGCTCACCTGAATCACTTCCATGGGATTTGGATGCTGTTGGGGATCTTGGTGATACAGTCTTTGACATTACTGTAGATGACATCTAGTGCAGGATGCGTTTGACACACCAAATCCTGCAACTTGATGGAAGTTTTATTCATCAACTCATTGTGCTACATAGGACAAGGAAAGTGTGGACACTTAGAGAACAACAAAGCGGTCAGTGTGGACACTCAGAGAACAACAAAGCCTTTCTTGTGTTCATAAATGCATTAGCCATTCTCTCCTAAGGGTGGTGCCTACTGCTATCTCTGCTCTTCACTTTCAGGAAACTCCTGGAGACCCAACCATAAATAAGTGTTCATCTTTCTCTTTTTCCATGTCTGAGACTGAAAAAGATCTCCTAATTTGTGTAGAAATTAGCTTAATGCAAGGTGGGTGTTTATTAGTGAATGTCTACACCAAAGACCTCTTATTTTTGGCCATTCAAGTGGTTCATGTTCATCCCTGAGACAGTCCCAGAGAGGTCTTCTCTCCATTCTATTAAGACACAAGCTGCAAGTTGAACGGTTAATGGCCGCAATGTGCCATAGTGTTCTGAAAAATAAAAATCAGAATCACCCAAGACCTTAAAGAATTAGTATCTCCAGCAGTGGAGCTTTATAGCCCACAAGAAAGATGATCCTCTCTGGGAAAGGGCCAGGTGTCTCCAGATGAACAGAACTTTTGGGAAAGCTCTGCTTCATTGTGTAAGCAGAAGAAGGCCTGAAATTTGTTTTTCCCTAAGAATTTCAAACAGGGTAGTGACAGTTCAGCATTTCAGAGCTCATGTTGTAAGTTTTATGTTTTAACATATACTAAATGGGCAGTAGCACCATGTCCTGATTCAGGGTTTGGAATGTTACAAGGTAACTTGTCAATGCAAATATTATTGACGCCACTGTCAATTATCCTCCTGTATTCTGTATTCTGTTGATTGATCTCTTAAAGACATGACTGTTATTTTGTTCATACACATGATGACAGGGGAATTGTTCATGTATTATGTTAGTTATATACTTAATTGTTGAGAGTTTAAAGACAGCTATGGAAATTTATGAAAGCTTTTGTTTCTGTCATTGTGAAAGGTTAAAGCACTGTATTTTCCCCTAAAATTTATTTATAGTTTGCCAATGCATTCTTACAGCTTCTTTTTGGAAACTTAAGACCCACTGTTCTGCAGATCCATCCACAAGCTCATCATCTACTGTGCAATGAGCTCTTGACTGTTACTACAAAAACCCAGTCTTGAACCAGTCTGGGTCCAGCTGCGTTTATTAGCTTTCATTCAGCACCAAGGGTTTGATGAATGTGGAGTGGCTCTCTGATGAAGCCATTCAGACATCCTTGCACTATGGACAGCAGCAGAGTGACCTACTCCTGGGAATGCAGCACAGGAAAGTTTGAGCTGCCTTGAAGGCTGCTGGCTCTCCCTAGGGTTGTCGTTGCCAGCCTGACTTAAGCCCATGCCAAAGCTGGTGGGCTGCCAGTGCAGCCTCAGGAGCAGCAAAGCCAAAGCACCGTGTCTGGCCTAACAAACTGTGCTGGGCTCAGGCAGCACCTGGAGGGAGCCAGCTTGGGCATTTCTGCATGTTTGACACAGTCAGTCCAGTCCAGAAAAACAACATGCAGGCAGCTGAAAGGCAACAGTAGTTTCTAGTGTACTGTGATGCTGAAGATGAGCATGTGCTGGCCACTTTGATTCACAATTTCTGAAAATGTCTGATTGTCAGGATCTGCAAGTTGGAACCCTATAAACAGATTATAAAAAGAATGTAGGGAACAGTCACGCTTAGAAATCTTGTCAGAAGGAATAAACTGTTGTTAAAAATATGCCTTTCTATTGCTTCATCATCGCTAGTACCATCAAACCCATGCAAAGGTTTCTAGATGTCCTTATTCCAAATTCCTCTTATAGACACACTAATTATTCATTCTTTAGAAGTCAAGATAAGCATGCATCACTGAGAAAAGGGGCAGAAAAGGCTTTTGTTTATGTCTTCCCTTAAGTTTCCTGTAAAGGAGTAACACCTTTACTAATTTCTCAAAGATTTAAGAAAATGCAAGGTCTTTGGCACTGTATACTTATAATTTGGCACTGTATATTTACAATTACTCAGAACTGAAATGCAAGACTCCCCCCCTACAGTATCCCCCTACATCACAGGTGGAATTAAATCTGTCAGATAGATTAGATGTTTACCTACAGGCATTTAATTGTGATACTGAAATGTCATTGTAAATGTAGGCCATTGACTATTTCTCTTGTAAAATGACAGGCAATTTAGATTTTTGCAAGGGTGAGGTGAAGAGAGCAACTGTTAACCCTAAAAAGCAGATTCATAGTGAGATTTAGGTTGAAGATTAACTCCTTGACTCAAAGTTTCTGAAGTGTTTCCTTTTAAATAAATGCATTTCAATAATCTCTTTTAATTTCTCAGAATTTAGCTAAAATTTATTACTATTTCCAATTTTATTAATTGTTTAGGTTATTAGTAATAAAACTAGCAGGACCATGTCTATTGTAATGCAGTCCTTTACACCTATGCAGTCTGTTTTACTTTTTCTTTGCAGCATGAGGCCTGATTCCTTGTAGACTTGGAAAATAATTCTCTTTGATCTTAATTTATGCAGGGAAAAAATCTTTACCCTAGAGGAATGCCTGTTCTTCAGATTATCTCTGCTGAAAGCACTTGATGCCCTCAGGAAAGACTATGGATGAATATTATTTATTCTGCTTATTTTTAGTTTCTTTCATTAACATAGTAAAAAGGAAACATATGCAAATGTAACTTAGGTACAGCCTATTACCTGAGTGTCCAAAACTGCCCATCAGTGTTATTTTTAGTTTGTTTCAAGTGTGAACATAATATTTATGTTCCAAGTCCCAAATCTAATTCTTGTGAAAACTCTCTTTCCTTTAATCACAATGGTCCCAAATGTGGATGGAGATCCCTGAGGGCCCTGACACCTTCTGTAACTACTGCCATGAAGAACCAATGGATGGATGGGAAGGCCAGGACTGGACTAATATATAAACAGGTGTCTACCCCGTGTTGTTCTGCAATACAAGCTCCGCTCTCACTCAGGAGCTTAGGAGCATTTCTCAGTCTCCTATTTTCAAAGTAATAGAGGCAGCACATGAAATTACAATATTTGTCCTGCTCCCACCTTGCTACAGAGTATACTAAGATTTGGTTTCTTTGGTTTCTTTTTCCTTCCTACCAGCCTTTTAATGTTTGATTTCCTTTTGTTTTTTTTAATAGGTCTGCTTTGTTTTCAATGCCTTGAGGCATCCATGTTCTATTCCTCAGACATACTGACAGAGTATCAAAGTACTTCACAGTATCTAGCATCTTAGGCTACCTTGGAGAAAGACAGCTCAGGGGATGAATAGAATTTGTCCTCCAGTGTTCACTCCTTGTTCTAGTTCTGGTGTTAGAAAATGGAAGTGAGTGAAATGTGGTGAAACTACAAGCATCTCTCCAGAGCTAGACCAAAGCCAGATTCTGCATGGCTCCTGGAAGAGTTGTCAAATACTAGCCTTTTTTTATTAATGACTATGCATAAATGAAACAAACAGCAAGTGGCAAAACAGCCTCGGAAAGGGGCAGTTCTGTGATCCACCCACTTCCTAAAAATGCATAATGTATTGTCCTGGAGTCTTGAATTTGGAGGGAGATCTGTTCTTTCTGATGGTTGTGACTAGTGCAGTGGCTTCTTCTGTGGTCAGGGGATTACTGGCCATCTGTAAAAGAATCCAGACATGGTGAGAATGAGGGTGTCATGTCTAGCAGAAGGCATGCTGTATCCTCAAGGATGACCCTTTCTTCCCAGTCTTCAGCAGGCATGTGGAAAAACTGTGGTCCTTTTGAATGGGTTTGTCTGTTATCTCATCGTATCCTGTCTCTGTCCCACAAAACTCTGCAAGCTTCCAAGTCAAGTGGAGCTGCCTTCTCTCTCTGTCTGCTAGAGTGAAATTCCATATATCAGGTCCTTTACATCTGTCATGCAGAAGGATGTGATGTGCATCATATTCAGTTGTGATGGGGAGAGGCTGAGGCAATGGGCTGCCTTTGAGTGCGTACCTGCTAGTAGGGCCCCTCTGGATGGGATTGTGCCCCTTGGGACATTTCCCATTCACTTGGCTCCTCTTGGCAGCACAGCAGATCAGAGCTCAGGCTGGTTGTCTGCCTGCTAAAAGGTCTGGCTATCTGGCATTACAGGGTTGGCTCTGCCGTGTGCCTCTCTCAGTGAACATCGTCTCTCCCCCACCTTGTGCAGTCCCCATTCCCACAATTAGAAAGAAAAGTTTCTTTGTTAATGTTGGCCAGCAGAAGACATGTTCTTCTTTAGGTCCTTTGTGCTATCAGCTCCTGAGACAATCTGAATGGCTACAGAGAGAGAGAGGAATGCCTCTGGGTGAGCTAGTGACTTTACCTCAAGCCAGGTTAAGAGCAAGGCACACAGACATCTTTATTTACATAATCTGAAACAGCAGGCCCAAAGACTGGTGTGGTTGCAGTGATTTACAGACAGGGGTGTCCAGAGACAGGCCTACATTAACAGCTTTAAAGATACCTCTCAACCACCATAATGTCATTTGCAGGCTCTCAGGATGGTGATGCTAGATCTGGCTGAGAATGCATCTTGTAAGCATTCTGTAAGCAAGCTGGCTTTTCTGAGCTGAATTCCTAGTGTCTGATCTTGGATTGAGAGGGTGTGTTAGCTCTCATTTCTCATCTCTGGAGGAATCTTAGCTGGTTATTCGGTTTTGCCTTTTCAGGGATTATTGACCCCTGTCTTACTAGAAGACAGTTTTGGTTTTCTTTTGCCAGGGCTTGGTAATACTCCTTTATTTTAGGTAGCGCTGTGGCATTGCCCTGTTGTGGCAAAGGCAGTTTAACCTGTGCTTGAATAAATTCTTAGCAAATCATTTCCATTGTGAAGGAGAAAGGTAGAGAGAGGGAGGATTTCTTATATTAATAGACACTGCCTGTTTTTTGTGAAAAATGTCTGGATTCTCCTTGCCACATCTAAAATATCAAGACTCACTCTACTTATGTTTGATTATCAGAGGAGAGGAATTCAGCTTCACATGATAGCTGTGCCCAGCTGTACGAGTGCCAATGCCAATTCACATGCATCACACACCTCAAGGTGTAAGTTCTGCTTAGAGCAGGGTATGTGTGAATTTATTTGTGTCTGCTGTGACATTGGAAGGGATAGGACTTGCTGCCAACACTTGCTTCACATTCTCAGAGAGAATTTCTCATCCAAATTTTCCATGTATGGAAGGTTGGATGGAGGCAGATGGTGAATTCAGCTGACTTAAAAATATTCCTTTTAGAAACAAAACAGAAAGAAACAGATTCTGCAGATTCTGTAATCTCTGCTGCTCCTGCTTCAAGTGAGCTGAAGGACAGAAGAGATGTAAAACCTTGAATTTTGGAGAGGCATTTTTCTAGACTAGGAAGGTCAAAATGTTTTGGTACTGATCTCTGTGTTGCCTGCAGGTTTTTTCAAGGCAGGAGCACATTGCCTTGCCCTCACTTCAGTTGTAATTGTACCACATTTTAAAGACATGGACTTTTATTAGAAAGAGATAACATATCAGTGGAAACACTGAACCAGGAGAAGGAAGGTGTTAATGAAACAGAAGGCATTGCATTATTGAGATGCTCAAGGAACACTGGATGCTCACACCACATGCTTGTGGCCATCATGGTAGCAGGTGTGTGGAACATCCTGAGGGAAGAAGGGCATTCAGGTATTCATGCAAATCTTACATTTACTACACATATTCACAGTGTAGTAACAGCACCTGAGATTACTGAAATACTAATTGTTTTGTTTGCTTTTTCTCTGAAGCACACTCAGTTTCTCACTTTGTCTGAACAGACAGATTAGACAGCTTTATTTTAATTCTTTCTAATCTGTGTCTCTTGCTGCTTACTGTGCAATGGCTAAAACCATTAGGTTTGGGCTACTTATGAAAAACTGAAGTAGCTCCTGAACTTTGCAATCAAAACAAACAATGGCTCTGATCCTCTGGGATTTTAGTAATTTGCTGCCTTATATGCCCTGAGGGACTTCTCTTTCAGCTCCTTCCTCTCTGACAGACTGCTCTGTTGCTGTGGTTTCTCATGCTGCATGTGTGTTCCCATACACGACTCATGGTTGCTAGAGTCACCTGTGGGGATGAGGGTGAGCTTGTGAGCCAGCCAGAAAGTTCTGGATCTGGATGCCCTAGTTTTTGTGCTACCCACCAGGTCATGGGGCATTCTTGCTAGAGAAGGAAATGCATGTTCACTGTGCTGACACCATCCAGATCCCCAGTGCCTGTACTCCTGTGTCCTGGTTTTTTGCCATGATAGAGTTAATTTTTTTGCAGTGGCCATGAGGGGGCAGAGCCTGGATCCACATGGGCATGTGTAGGTTGTTATTGTCACCACCTCATGTCACTGCCATGGTTTGAATTACAGGACTCTTATCTCCAAGAGGAAGGTGGGCATGACTTGCAGTCCAGGGGAAGCAGGAGTGCAGAGAGTCTATCATTCCCTGCTTCAGGGTCACATGGCATCAGTCAGTTGGTGAGCATTTTTTGCACGTAAATCATCCTCTTTTTGTATAATTTTGTTACTAATATTGTTGCTGTTACTGTTCATTTTCTGATCTCATTGCTGTTTCCAGTAAATTGTTCCTGTCTCAACCCATACTCTCTGCCTTTTATCTCTCTCACTGGAGAGAGAATGTGGTTTTGTCATGGCCATAGAGAAATGTGGTAGAGTTTCTAGCAGTGTAATTCCATACCACCCACATCATGGCAGGGGCATGGGTTCAGCAACAGGAAGCTGAAGCTGGAAGAGTGATCATCTTTTGCTGGGCTTGAGCTCAGGGGTGTGCACATTTTGGGATCAGCCTGGTGGAGCCAGCCCCTCTCTGCCACCAGTGGTCCCTTTCCCCTTTCTCTGAGCAGTGGCTTTTCTGGTTCGGTTCTGTAGGTTTGAGTCGGTGAACCCGAGAAACTGCTCTGAGAAAAAGAATAAAAAAAGAAAGAAAAAAGGAAAAAGGGAGAGAGCAGTGGCCACATGGACTGGAGCCCTGCTGAACCATGTGGACTCCAAGCTGCAGCCACAATGACCACAGCTGGAGCCACAGCCGCAGCCCAAGATGCAGCCAGAACTGCTGAGCATTCCACTCCTACTCCCACAAGGTTAGGCCCAGGAAAAGGGTTCCCAGCCTGTTTCAGAATCCTGTCAGGTCCCATCCAGTTTTGTTTTGTCTCTGTTTTCCTGTTGTTTTTCAGTCTGGTTAACTGGAAAGTTAATTGTGCTTGGTGCTGTCTTTGCAAAGTGTCTCTCTTTATTTAGTGGGTAAAATACTCTCTCTTTTGTATACTCTTTTATTATCGTTGTTGTGGTTAGAACTATTTTTCAGTAAATTGTGATTATATCTTATAATCTCTCCTAGTGTTTTCTCCACTATTGGAAAGGAGCAGGTGAAAGCATTTAATTTTCATGCTGTATTTTAAACCAGAACATTTTTAGTGCTGTTCCTAAACCATGACATCCTGGCTTTGCAGGAATAATAAGTTACTGAGCATCTATCCCAGGAGCTGTCCTCCTTTCTCAGAGAACTCCTCGTGGCTGAGGTTCAGCTCCTTCACTTGCTAATTGCCCTATAGAGAGACAAGTGTGCAGAGGTAATGTGATCTTCCAGCCAGCTGCAGCCAGATGCCATACCAAGGCAGCCACATGAGGATGAAAGAGAGGGATATCAGACACATTGAAATCTTCAGTGCATGGGACATCAGCAGCACAGAGATTGTGGCACTGTGTGTCCCCAAATGGGCATATAACATCACAGTGATTATCTTTCCAAAACAGCAAAAGCAGTTGGACTTTGTGTTGTGCAAACTTCTCCCAGCTCATGTCTGGTCTGCAACACATCCTGCAATTCTGTTCTTGTCCCTGTTTCACTTCCACCATTGTCCCTTGACCAAAAGCTCTTTCTGGTATGAGATCAAGGTCTTGCTTCAGGGCAGCTTCTGAACCAAATGATTGAGAGGCTTTGAGACAGGAACTGTCCAGAGAAATCAAGACTCTGCAGTAAAAATATTTACTGGAAAATTGCAAACTTTTATGAAATTGTGTTCTCTTACACAGTTCTGAAGGTTTGTTTCTCAGCCAGAGACACACAGCTCTCCTGAAAAAATATTGATGCAGTTCATCCTCTCAGTCTCTCTTATTTCTGAACTAAGCACTTAGCGGAATTATGCCAGGAAATCATATGGACATTGCCAAGTGAAATCATGCCAAGCGAGAGCAGCAAATGACCTTGGATTTCAGGTAACTCACCATTAATGTCTCAGCAAAGTATGGTGCAGTCTCCTTTCCAAAGTTGTTTCGTGGGGAAGAAAAGTATGTTAACAATGTGCTGATCTCTCCTTTGGTGCTGCACTGGAGTCTGCAGAAAGATGTGCTTTTAGGTAAAACCTCCAGTCCATCACAGTCCATATCTGCCTGTAAGAAGTTGTGGTGGGTTGACCTTGGCTGTACATCAGGTGTTCACCAAGCCTGTCACTCCCCTCCTCTGCAGAACAGGGGAGAAAATAGAAAAAGCCCTTTGGAATCAAGATAAAGGCAGTTTAATTAGGCAAAAGAAAAAGTCACATACTAAAGCAAAGGAAAATAAAAGATTTATTCCCTATTTCCCATCACTAGATGATGTCTAGCCATTTCCCAGAAAGTCAGGCTTTAGTACACATGGTGTTATATAGTGGTGCATACACATAGGGGTCCAGAAGACAAACATTATAATAACAAATGTGCTGCAGATTCCCGTCCTCCCTTCCTTTACCTCCTGCCTTTCTCTTAGTTTTTATTGCTGAGGAGATGTCGTATGGTATGGAATATCCCTTTGGTGAGGTTGGATCAGCTGTCCTAGCTATGTTCACTCCCAAGATCTTGCCCACCACCAGCCAAGTGGTGAAGGGGGGGAGTGATGTGGGGAGACACTGATTGATGCTTTGAGAGCCAAAACTTTGCTGTGTTTATCAACACCTTTCTAGCTACCAATAGAAATCACAGAACTATGAGGGCTGCTATGGGGATAATTAACTCCACCTCAGCCAAACCTGATAGGGAAGTTAGTAATTTTACTACTTTGCTCCGTGGAGCGGAATTACCCAAAGATGTGGGAGATGCTCCAGAAATTAACTAAGTTCCTCTTGAGGGACTGGTTTTCAGAGATGCTGGAAATTGAGCAGGTAAAATATTTAATAATTTAAGTCTAGATTTCCACTGCTAATCTGGGTTCCCATCAGAGGCATGGCTGAGAGATTGATTTTGCCCATAGCCCAAGTAATATTTTCAAGGTGAGAGACTGGAATGAAACAGATATTACTTCACTTCTACTGCCATCAGTGCTTGTGTGCATACAGCCCCTCAAGAGCTGAAAAACATCAAGGTAGACAAATTATCCAAAAGCAAACTGGCAATGGCTTCAGCTGCTAATGTGTGCTCCTGGAAGAAAAGAAGGGAGTATAAGAAGGATGGGTCCAAAGACTGTATTGGTTTTACTGTCTTCTTAGTGCCCAAGATTCCAAGGGAATAATGAAACATGAGAAATGTTAGCCAGACAGTAATTAATGTGTAGGTTATAGGTGTATTTAACCCTGTATCCTTCCTAACACAAATAAAGCCCTCAAGTATCAGTTTCACATAGATCTTTGTCTTCAGTGAACCAAGAGGCATTTTGCCAAAAATCTTTTCTTTCAGTGTAACACAGATCCCATGCCCTAACAAAATGTATTTTGTATATCCCAGTTTCAAACTGAAGGAACATTTCCACCAGTTCATATCTGAGCATTTAGTATTATTCCCTTGATCTATTTAGAAAAGTTTCTCCATGTCATATTGGAGAATGAAATTTTCTGAGCAAAACCATCTGTAAAAGAAGAGACAATGTCTCTATATGCACACTTTTGCTTTTCAGAAGCTTGTACATTATAAAAGTATTGCAGCAGAAAATATCATGACTTTCAGAATGTGAATGTTTTTGCCTGGGAACAACAGTTGTTGGGTTAAAATTGGTTTTCTTTCAGAAGACTGAACTTGATGAGCAATAATTTTGACTACAAACTATGTCAGATCAGGTACAGTTCTTGAAGGGATGAATTCTCTCACAACATCTCTCCTATGCACATAGCTCCTTCTACCAAAATGCAGTTGTCTTCAAACTCTAATTGTGTAATGGTTGTGCTGGACTGGGAAGACAGAAAGGTAAACAAACACATACAGGAGTCCCTCCAGGCCTATCTGTGGCCCTGTAGGGGTTAGAAACACTGAGGGCTTGTGTCCCATGGAAGAGCATCAATTGCTTTTGGGGGTAACTCCATTAAAGGACATCAGTTGCCACACAAAACTTTCATGTGAGGATGAGAAACATTAGGGATGCCTAGGATTCCTGTGGTTTTTTACCCCACACTGTGTACTCATTGATGACTTCCACAGCACTAACCATGTCTTTGACACCTTTAGGACCAAGACCATAGTGGTTCAGATTTATGTAAGGCTTAGCCAAATTTTGAATCGAGTGTGAGGCAGGCACCATTTCCATCAGCCTGTGTGCTTCCAAATATATGGGCTCTGTGCCCATAATGTCACCAAAGGCCTTCTCAGGATCTATAGAGAAAAAGCGTATTGATGAGTGGTGCATTATGTCCCCCATCTCTAGTAAATAAATTAAACTACTTAATAAAATTAAATAACACTATGCAACAACAGCACAGTTTTGCGTCTTATGCATTATCATCCCCTGGTTCTCCCCATGCCTTTATCCCAGACTTTCAGCAGTAAATGTATCCTCCTTGCTTATCCACTTGTCATCCAGTGACTTGCTGCAGCTTCTCACCAGTCTGCAATGTGACTGATTTTTTTTGTGTGTAATTGAGAACTTTTGACATCAGGTAAAAACTTTCCACCCCCCTTAATTTAAGCATGCAGCTGATATTGCCAGCAGAGGTAGGGCAGCTCAGAACATTCTGGCTTACAACAAGCAGAAAGAATGCCAGCATTTTCATCTTGGCCATTGGGTGTTGTTGACACAGCTGCAGTGAGACATATCAGTGCAGCTGGAGGCTGTATTTCCACAAAAACCTGTCATTTGGAATTCCTTCATCAAACCCCATACTCGGAGGTCATATTTCTCCATGCTGTTATATGCATTCAGCAGTCTAACCTCAAGACAAATTCCCCTCTCAACAAAGTAATTTTCCAGTTCAGTCTGTAGCCTTCAACAAAATAGTCTTTGTTCTTGTGTTATTATGTTTTTTGACTTTCCTTCCATTTATAACAAGTTAGTTCTCTTCCTAAATCATGGAAAAATCCTACTGTTACAAAAATGACTGCAAGACTTGTTTTATCAGATGACTGACTTCTTAAGGCAGAAAATAAGAGGAGAGCCACCAGAAAAGACTAGAAGGGTTGTGGCAAACCTATGGTGTGCAGACCACAAGTGCTGCAGTGTTTCATCAGGAGTGCACCAACAGGGATGCAGTCCCATTCTTGGTTTCAGCTAGCTCCTCCTGCTGCTCTGTTAACAACTAGAGGAGACAACAGGAACAAAGAAATAGCCCTGGTGTGTAGAAAGCAGTTGAAGAAAGATGTTTGATGTCAAAGGGAGAGCTCTTAAATGGAAATTCCCATTCTCCCCCTCTCCCCCGTCTTTATCAATAGCCAGATTACATGTGGCTGTTAGAATTCTGGCAGGATCACGTCCTTGGTCTCCTTTTTGGATACATACCAGTTGGTAGGTACTCTGATGGTATGGAAAGGGTAGTGAGTGCAGATGGTGAGAAGACATTCAGTTTCAAGCCCTAGGTCAGCGTCAGGAGCTTGTGTTGCCTTCTTTGCTGAGGCATCAGCAGCAAGACACTCCTGAGGCTCACTCATTTTGGACATTTCATTCTGGTCTGCCATGAAGCAGGTTCAGTTTGTCAATGCAAGCCTAGCAAAAATGTGACTCCCTGGATGTGACAGATCTTCCATTTGTCTTACTGAAGTCCCTCTTCAACATGCTGGGGATGTATTCCTGTAACCCTGCTTCATGCCCAGCACTCCCTGCACACTACATGTGTGTGGTGCTGGCCCCAGTGTGGGGAAGGGCTAACTCTGGTGCCAAGCTCTCCTCAGGTTCTTCAGGCCATGTGCAGGGAACTCACAGTTATCCCATATTAGGTTCTTGTTGCGTCACAAGCCACCTTTCTCCCCTTTCTCAATTTCTGAGCCCACCAGATAAATCTGTTTTTTATCTTCATCCCATTTCCCCACAAACATGCAAGCCAAAACCATACCAGCTCCTCCTACCTTTCTTGAACTGACTGACAATTCCCCAGGCACAGGGGCTGACTGTGATCAGACTCTGGGAGTGCTTTGCAGTATACTCATCCTGCATGGCAAAAGAAAAAGCATTTGAATGCCACCGTATATTGGGACTGAATGTAAGCAGACTCACTGGAAGTGATACAGTTTCTCTTGCCCACAATTCATAGTTTATTTTATAGTTATAGAGAAAGAGAATTTGGAAAATTCCCTTTAAATGGGACTAAATGCATGAAAAAATTATGGAGTGTTATTTTGCCAAAATAATTTCTGGTTAATAGTATAATACATATTTTTTTCTACCCTGAATCTTGCTTTTCAGTCCCTGTCACTGCTTTTACTGCCTTCTTCCCTTACTCTCTATTTCCCTTTAGAGCTCCAGGCCATTAACCTGTAATTTTGTACCCTTCCTGGGTGTCACCTAGCACTGATGTGGAATGTGGAGCAGTTTAGCTATTCATTCAGATCTGTATGGGGAAAAGACTGGCCAGCTGGCACCCACATCACTACACTTCAACCAGCTCTGCAGCTGCATCTCTTTTATTAAGACCCTTTCCTTCTGCCAGATTTTATTTGTCAAATGATGGGTTTACTTGCATTACTCTAGTGTGAGAAACACAAAAGGAAGGGTAAAAATAGGCTTAGATCCCATGTAAAGAAGTCATGAGACAAGTCATGTGTCCAGTACATTAGTCAGTCTCACAGTGTGTGGATTGAGCCTTCTGAGGTAGATTCAGAAATCATTTTGGCACTTCATAAATTGCATTATGTACTATTTAAATATAGAAAAAACAAGCCTAGAAGAGTTGTCCCACATATGTCCATGCCTTACAGTAACTGCATTATTTAAGAAATAATTGCATATATAACAACAAAGGAAAGGAAGAAATTAACACATAATGACTAACTGACAGGCCAAAAGAGGTTTAGAACTTTGAGAGGAGCTGTTATGCTAAGCTAGGAAGTCAGGCCAAAGAGCTGTGAGCAGCCCTGGCACCTGACTCTGCTGTGTACAAGCAGAGCCTGAGAGCAGCACTTTCAGAAAACCCTGCTGCTCCCATGCCCCACCTATCCTTCTGGGCAATGAAGAGCCCAAACAAGATCTGGTCTCAAAAGATGCTGAGCTCTGACATCTCTCACAGACAGTAGGGGCAGCTTGGTGGAGTGTCCTGGATGCTGGTACTGCCAAGTCCTCTAATTATGAATTTTGTTTTTTCCAAGTGCTCCCAGATGGCAGCTCCCATCTCTGGGCACTGGCACTCTGGATCCCTGTTCGCCACCCTTCTCATTGCTGCCTGGCCTCGGGAGAGAAGCCTTCCCAACCGGTGATCAGCCTGGTGCAACCACAGTCCCTGTTAGGTGCTGCTGATTTTTCTTTGGCCATTTCTGACAATTTCTGAAGTGAGTTTGCTAGTAAGGAAACCCTGCACCTGTATCCTTCTCAGACTCATTCTCTGTGTCGCCACCAGTGAGTCACAAGTTCATTTGCTTTTTCTCTTCTGTAAATGAAGAGTTCACAGTCACCTCCTAGATCCTACACAATAAAAGCACAACTGCTTGGCATCAAAACATCTCCAGGAGGAATGGTGCCATTTGTAAGACCTGGCTTCCTGATTTATGTTGCTTATAAACAGGAGAATCCTGTGTCTTGTTTGCAGGGCTGTCCTGTGCTGCCACATCACCCTTATGTGTCCTCACCTGCACCTTCTGACTCCTAAGGGTGACATTCAGTGCCAGAAACCCCATTGTTCTGGGATCCAGTCAGCTCACAATAACTGAGAATAGCTATGGTTTTGGCTGTAGACCTTCCCCCTTTCCCCCCAGATGTATCAGTCACTCCAGGCCGCTGCTAAGTGTTCTTGTCTCCTTTAAGTTCATGTTCCAGTTTGTACAAATTCATGATAGAGTCAGACTGTGGCAGTTATGTATGTTTCTCACACCTATACAATAAAAGCACAACTGCTTGGCATCAAAACATCTCCAGGAGGAATGGTGCCATTTGTAAGATCTGGGTTCCTGATTTATGTTGCTTATAAACAGGAGAATCCTGTGTCTTGTTTGCAGGGCTGTCCTGTGCTGCCACATCACCCTTATGTGTCCTCACCTGCACCTTCTGACTCCTAAGGGTGACATTCAGTGCCAGAAACCCCATTGTTCTGGGATCCAGTCAGCTCACAATAACTGAGAATAGCTATGGTTTTGTCTGTGGACCTTCCCCCTTTCCCCCCAGATGTATCAGTCACTCCAGGCCGCTGCTAAGTGTTCTTGTCTCCTTTAAGTTCATGTTCCAGTTTGTACAATTTCATGATAGAGTCAGACTGTGGCAGTTATAGTGTTAAATGAGATGAAGATAGGAATGTATTCACCTTTTTAGTCTGGAACAGATTCAGACTTCCCAACTGCCAAATTCCCAGTATGTTCAGTAATAAAGCATGGCTTGTAAACATGTCAGCACTTAATGGGGCCTTGAATCAAGTACTCACTCATTCCACGAGCTACTGTTGGTGCCAAAAGTGGTTCAGGGCTTATTATTTTACATTTCTTTTACTGAGGACTTTGTGATTTTTCCTAAGGTGCTAAAACCAAAACTGTAGCAGAAGAGGCTTTCTGATAAAGGTTGAGCAGAAAAATTCATACGCTTAGAAATATTTTTATTTCCCTAAGAATAGGATAATTTTTGTGGCTTTATTCCCTTAGGTTCTACATAGACCTCTCAAATAGTCCAGTCATTAGAGACCGTGGAAGGGCTATATTTGGATAAAAACCAAAATACCACAAAACCCAGTGGAAGGCTTGACCCTGAAGCAGGTGACCATTGTCAGCTTTGATTTTATTGCCAAAATTTGTAAATATTTTTCTAGTGTAGGCCAAACAACTGTGGCTATTTGGCCACAGCTGCTTGCTTGTTTGTAGCACCAGCTAACATTCTTCTCTGATTTCAATCTGATTATTCTGATGTGGGTTGGGTCTGAAGATCTTTTCTTAGATCTTTCCTTTTAAGGAACAGGCTGGTTTTAAATGACCCAGTTATGAGCTCCTAATGTTGCAGAGCCTTCCCCTGGAGAACAGCCTCCATTCTCTGACTAGAAACCAATGATGGATTGGTTACTGCAACAGGAGATGGGAGACCAGAGTCCAGTGGTCTCTGTCTCTGTCTTTGCCAGACATCTGTGGGATTTGAGACAAGTCCCTGCTTCTATGGTCTGTGGTGTTTGAAAATGGAGATTTGAAAAAGAGTGGTAGGATTATTATTTTTATACATTATAACATAATCTCAGATCCTAGCTGTGGACACTCATTATGCTAATTACTAATGGGAAAAATGGATCTTAAAGTCTTCACAAGCAAGCTGAAAGAACCAATCAGGTTCTGTGGGGATTTTAGGAGAAATGGGTGTTAATTGTCTTAGAAATGTCTTCATGAATATCAAGCTGCATTTTTTGCAGAATCCAGATAATTTGAGCTTCTAAACTTTAGGGCAATGTGTAGTAGGTGGTTCGGGAAGTCTGTACCTTCCTAGTGCCTCAGCTAATAGGGAAAGGAAGAGGGCAACCTGCAGCCAGGAGTTTAGGATAAAAGGAGGCTGCATCCTCCAAAAATTTGAGAGGCCCCACAGGAGTATGGCCTAGTGGACTCTATCCCTTTACTGAAATAAAGTTGCAAGATTCCTGTCTCTTTTGTGGACACTGGCTTTTCACAATGTGGTTTTCTGCACATCAGCAAGTATTTAATTTAATTATGACCCATGAGATGGCAGCTGGTCACCATGAAGGGAACAGTTTGGCAGCACTCATCAGTGTAAAAGGCAGGGATAATATGAATCTTGACTTCATTGCAGGTACTCTGAGTTTGGAAGAAGGCTACTTGAGATTACAAGTTAGAAATGTGTATTTGCTGTAAAAAAGCTGTAGTGTGCTTAGCTCAACCTGTTTCCCTTCAGATGTTGAAAACATTTGATTGTGGAGTGAAGCAAACATTGAAATTCTGGACTTCAACCAGGACTTCGCTTTTCATATACAACTGTCTAGTTGCAGCATGTGATGGATCTCAACTTGCAAATGCCAGAGTACTCATAGCCAGGTGAGGACTGATTTTGCAAACCTCTGATGACCTCTCAGCAGCACCCAGTGAGGGCACACTCCTGCTCTGCTGTCTCCCCCACCCCATCGCCACTGCTACTTAAGAGTTGTGCTTTGCAAAACCTTAGCTACTATGAGTGCTGTTCGAAAAGCCTGAGTAACATCTGGAACAAGTGGGGCTTCCCAGGGAACAACAACAACAACAACAAAAAAAAAAAAAAAAAAAGCAGCTATTTTTCCTGTTTGTATTTCTGGAGAACAGGGGGTGAAAATTTTTGTTTGAAACCACAAATTTCAGGGTGGCAGAGCCATAAAGTAACATTCACTCAACCCAGGGTCACAGCGTCTGAGCCCTTCAGGGACTGCACGGCTGCCGGACCCCTCAGCAGGCCGGGGGCCCCGGCTGCGCTCCGGCCCTACCGCGGGGCAGGCAGGGCCCCACCCCGGCCGGGGCCGTCCCACCACGGGCCGCGGCCTCCCGGGAGCGGGCGGCCCTGGAGCGGCGCTTGGGGAGGGCCAGGCCCGAGCCGGCTGCGAGTCCCGGGGGCCCGACGCGGTGAGTGCCCGGGCACGCCGGGCGCCGGCGAGCCCGCACCGTGACCGGGCTGGGGGCGGTGGAGGCCGGGCCGGGCGGCATGATCGGCACCGTGCTCTGCTACGTGCTGCTGCCGGCGGCGCGGCTCCTCCAGGCCCTCCGAGGTAACCCGGCCCCGGGCGGGCGGCGGCGGGAGCAGGGGGAGCTGCCGGGGGTGGCCTGGAGTGGCCTGGAGGGGCGGGGATGTCCCTCGGCGTCCCCCGCCCCAGCCTGAGGGGGTGCGGCCCGGCGGCCGGGGTCGGCGCGGCTGCCCCGGAGCTCCCGAGGCCCTGGCCCTCGGCAGACGGAGCGTGGGACTGCCGGGCCGGGGCTGCTGGCCCCGGGCAGCGCGGGGAGCTGCGTGTTTGGAGGAACAGCTGGCGGCTGTTGTGCTGCGGAGGCAGACTGCGCTTTGCGCGGGGGCTCCAGCTCCTGCCCCCAGCCTGCTCTGCAGGCTTGGGGAGATCCTTGGAGATGGGCAGCTCAGAGATCTGTGATCCCCCAAGGACCTGCGGGACCTTCGTGGATGGGCTTGTTTCGTGTGCATTGCTATTTCACTTAGTTTCCCTAGATCCTGCTACTACTTCTCAGTCACTGGTTACTGAGCTCATGTAAAGCCACCCTCCAGCCTGAACCTGTGCCTGGGCCTGTAGCAGCTACTGGACTGGCACACTGTCTGTTTTCATAGTGAGCAACGAGCTGACTCCTCTTAAATTCAGCTCCTATTGTGTATTAACAGGCTCTTATAGGCACTCATCGTGCCTGGCCAGTGGTGTGTGGAAACATTACCTTGGTGTGTTGGTGTTTCTGACATTAATGAGCTTAATTACAAACTGACAGAGAGGAGTATGGCTCTTAAAGCTCCATTACTGAGACATACAGAAAACTTTGACACAAAAGTTATAGTAAAACTGTACATGAATGTTGCTGACTCCTCCGTGTTACTGTTCTGGCTCACTGACAGGGATGCAGAGAAAAAGTAATTTGTAATCAACAGAAATTGCTAGTTAACAGTAGGGACGAGTGTCTGTGCAGAATTCATACCAAAGCGTAAATGCCATCTCTTGCATAGATGCAAGTGAAAAGAGTCTCTTTCTACTTTACTGCTCAAATATTAGTGTATTCAATGTTACATTAAAAACAGTTTAACGTGGTTTTACTTTTTTGCCACGTCAGTCATCAGGTGATCTGTAATTCTTGCCAGGATTTCTTCTGTGCATATACTCTCTCTAATGAGGCGTATGTTGGTCCCTGTGTATCTTCATTTTTCATCTCTTAGTAACAAAATGGTTTTTTTCCTACAACACGTCTTGGTTTAGGGCAAGTTTGGGAGATAACCTCTAAAGGGGCTTTTCTACAAAAGCAGATTCAATTGCCCTTCTTCTTTCTAACCGGTTCGGGAGAAAATATCTTTTTGGAGAAAAAGTGGAAAGAAACCTGTTTATTAAACAATAGAAACCAAACAATATTAAACAATAAAACTTCTTATTGCTCTAAAAAAAAGCAAACTTAGAACAGTCTTTTCTCTGGGTTGCAGCTCAGCTCACTCAGTCTTTGATCAGTTTCTGGTGCTGGAAACGCCACGGCCCAGGCCCAGCCAGGGGGGCTACAGGTGGAGTTGTCAGTGCTTTTTTGAGTGTTTAGTTTAGAGCAGGTTTGAACAGGTCTAAGCAAAAAGGAAAAAAAAATCACAGTCCAGGGAACTTCTTTGCCTCAGCTAGTTAAAACTAACTAAAAGCAAAAAAAAGGAAAAAGGAGCTCTGTCCAGCTGTTTGTCTATTTGCAGACAACACAGTCCAGGAGCAGGAATGTGGAGGAGTGAGAGCAGTCTGAAAACAAACTGCGCGCTTCTTCTCTCTCTTCTTCACTGTCCGTAAGAGAGTCTTAAAGCTGTAAAACTTATTATTCAGTATGAACAGAACAAGACGATTGGGGATAAAAGCATCATATAGTCAACCTAGGACAAACACATTCTTGTGATATATTTTACTCTCTTAGCTGGCTACTATTTCTTGCTCAGTCCCTATAAAGAAACTTGCTCCAAATGATGATCTACAAAACCTTGGCTTCTTAGCATATGCACCTGATCAGCTAACTTCTAGAGACTGCCTTTACGTATGTTGCTGAGAGCTGATAGTTTCCACAAGGCCTTTCAGCTTGGCTGACTCTTTGTGCTGCTGCATGAGTTAGAATTGCATTCTCTAGATTTGATAAAGCTATTGCTATTGTTTGCAGTTTCAGTGACTTGAATTAAAGTAACTGGGTTTGGACGGTGGCTTAGCATGCTGGAGGAGGCAGGGGAAGTTATTTAGACTGAAACTGTTTTCCCTCAGAGAAGTAATTTGTTTGGGTTGCTATACTGAATGGTATTGCACAGAGTTACAGCAAATGCGTTGGAATAAGAAAATAACGAGTAAGAAAGTATTTCTGGCTGTTTTATTTTGATTTTGTTTTTAAATGACAGATGCTTTCTTTACCTATCGAAAGAATGTGCTTCTGGCGAAGAGCCCGTCCACCCAGATAGAAGGTGTCTTTGCTGCAACCAGAGGAAGATCAGTTCCAGAAGAGCAAGAAGCCCTTCTCCAGCAGTGGCTGGAGGAAGGAGTAGAGAATTTGCCAGCCAGTGAGAGAGTTCCAGCAGTGAGGAAAGCATCAGTTACACTCACTAGTGACTGGTTAGAAGGTTCACAGCTGTTGATGACCAGCCTCAGTGACCTGAATACATCTCCAGAAGTCACCCGGTGTGCTGATCAGCAGCACTCAGAGCTAAATGCCTTGGCTTCTTCAGAACTGCAAGATAATGCAGTAGCAGAACTAGCAAGATTACCATCAGAGGAAACAGTGACTGTAGCAGGCAGTGCCCCTTGGGCAGCTGTGGTGCCACAGACAGATCACCAGACAGCTGGCTGTGCTGGTATCAACGTGGAAGTGCTGAATGATGACCCAGCTGTGCTGGCCTGGAGTTTAGCATGTGATGCAGAGACAGTGCCACCAGTGCTCCCAGCCCAGCCCATTCAGGATGCGGTGCCATTTTATCCTGTCTCAACGGAGGTGCCCTACCATGGTCAGTGATGGCTCTGAATCTAATGTTTAGTTTGGGATTGGCATTTGTGGGGAACGTGATCAGGTTATTGTGTCTGGGCTTGCTGTCAGCAAGACATTGATTGCCTGTGCAGAGTTGACAGAATCTGCTAGTGAAAACTGTAAAGTGAATTTTTGCTGGGGAGGGGCTGGTCACAGCTAGTGGTTTCTGTGCTGTGAGACTGTCTGGTCTGAATAGCAATATATGTTCCTTACTGTTCTCAGATGCTGGCTTTGTACTCTAAGAAGCATTGAAAAGTGGGTCTGGTGTTTCAGTATGCTTACTCTGGTCATGTGTTATGCCAGTCTTTACAGACAACTATCCAAAGATATCCAGAAAGAGCATCTGGAAACCAGAGTGGGTGCGGGTTTGCTCAGAGGCTAGAGTGCCCTAGCTTAGGGAATGAGCATGGCTCTTCTCTAGGTCCCAGGGGAACCAAAGTGTCCAATAGCAAGGTACCCAGTGTGGCTGTAACTTTGCTTTTTGTCTCTTGCATATAGAGATCTTATGGAGAGACTGGGAGGATCTTTCTGTCCAGCCCTGTGTCTTAGAGCAGGTCTCAAAAAACACTCCCCTCTTTGAATTTCGAGTCATGTCTTACAACATCCTTGCCCAGGACCTGGTGGAGCAGGGCCTTGATCTCTATGTACACTGTCATCCAGACATCCTGAACTGGAACTACCGCCTTCCAAACCTTTTGCAGGAGATCCAGCACTGGGATCCTGATGTAAGTATGACTAAGTTCTCTCTACATCAGTGTCACCAGAATTTGAATTCCTTGTTTGATCTAACAGTATTAAGAAAAAGATGGGGGCAAGTCCTAGGAAGATACTACCTGCTTGGTAACTGGACACTGGTTGGTCTGAGAGTGATTGAGGACTCTCACAGACCATGTTTTTGGTGTCTGTCTTGCTTTGATTGTAGAAACTAGTCATACTTTGATAGTAGGGCTTAACTTTTATAAACAGCAGAAGTAGAGGAAGAAAGACCAGTGTTCTAAGGCAGCACAGGAGGGGAAGCCTGCGTAGAAGAGGACTCCATGAATTTCTATAGAAGAGGACTCCTCTTTGTGGGATGAAGGATCTTTTATCTCATCACTGGAAAACTGAATGATACAGTACTGTGACCTAGAAAGTTAGTTCTTTTCATCTGGAAAGTACAGGACAGACTTGTGGTGATGACATTTCTGTTGGGAGGGTTGGCTTGTGAATGCACTTTTCTGCTTTCTTCCTTCCCCAAAACAAGGTAACTAGCAAATACTTGTGAAGCAAGTGAGGTCTCTGCTTTCCTTCCAGGTTCTGTGTCTCCAGGAGGTGCAAGAGAACCATTACTGGGAGCAACTGGAACCAACATTCAAGGAGATGGGTATGTCCAGCTTTTGTGGTTGTGTACATCCAGCTCATGGCACTGGCCAAGCAGTGCTTCCTGCTTAACATTTTCAAAGCACTCAGTTTCAAGAGACCTCTTCCTGTTTGCCAGGTAGCTGCTGGCCCTACTTCAGAACTATCTGCCTAGACCTTTATCCTTTCTTTTGAAATTGATGTCTCTGAGTTTGAAAGATCAGAGTAACAAAACAGAGGGCCCTAGGAGGACAAGGAAAGAGAAAATACGCCCAATAATTAATAATAAAGGGTGGTTATTGGAAAAGAATTGGGTATATTCCTGTACCCAAAGGTAGTAGAAACCTTTTCTATACAAACTTGCTGAGCCTGAGGTAGTGACTGGATGAACCTTTTAACAGGTGATGGTTTCTTTTCAGGCTTTGCTTGCTTCTATAAACGGAGAACCGGGACGAAGACAGATGGATGTGCAGTGTGCTATAAGCGCAGCAGGTTCCAGCTGATCAGTCTCAGCCCCATAGAGTACTTCCGGCCTGGCCTGGACATCCTCAACCGGGATAATGTGGGCTTGGTGCTGCTTCTGCAGCCTGTGCTCCCTGAAGGTCTGGGTCTGAAGGCAGTCAGTCCTTTGTGTGTGGCCAACACTCATGTGTTGTTCAATCCCCGTCGAGGAGATATCAAACTGGCCCAGGTGGCCTTGCTGCTAGCAGAGATTGACAAAATCGCCAGAACTACTGAAGGCAGCTACTATCCTGTCATCTTGTGTGGAGACCTGAACTCTGTACCTGATTCTCCACTCTACAAATTCATCCGGAATGGTGAACTTTCCTACCATGGGATGCCAGCCTGGAAGGTAATTGCCAGCCAGAACTGGGATTGGATAGCTCTTTATTGTCTGCTGTTTGCATGGCTGCATTTTTCCTCTTGTGAGGAAATAGTCTTAATACTGGATTAAGTTATTCAGCAGTCTTCCCCAATGTCTCCAGCACTGCAGGGGAAAGAAGTGGACAAGTGTGTGCGTGTTGTTTCCATCACTGCTTGTTGCCGTTTTGTTGCAAAGGTTTGGTACCTTCTCAGTGATATCTCATGGGCAGCTCCTCACAGCACTTTTTCTTCTTCTCAGCACAGCCAACAAACTCCATCTCACATCTCGACCAGCCAACCAGCTCTTTTACAATACCCCTCTTAATTGCATCCAGCTGTGGCCTATTAAGGGCAGGCTTGTTCTTAGTGCTTGATAATTAGCACAGCTGTAACTCCTTAGGGGTGAGATTACCTTCACCACTATCTCCATTCTCCTACCTTCTATCTATCCACAATTCCCCCTTTTCTTTTAATTACAAAGTTGCAGTATCTCTAGAAAGTTTTGTTCAAGTAAACGGACACTATAACATATTCACATATACTACTTAGGACTAACAGTTATATGAATGTTCAGGCAACATATCACAGTAAGAACATATGTTTCTAAGTTCTGATTTTGTTTTGCTTTTCAAAATCTAGAACATCAACTTCAGGCTCATCACCAGAAGCACTTGTGCTTAGACTTCTATATCGCAGTGAAAGTATACATTTCTAAATTCTAGTTCAGTTTTGCTTTTTCACAGTATAGATTTGATTCATTCTCTAAATTCACAGAGTACTTATCATATAAGGTGACTCACAAGAATAAGTTAAAGGCTATATATTAAGACAGCAACAAATTAACAGCTATAGAACTTTCAACAACATTGATCCAGCATCTGTCAAGTGTGCAGATTTTGTTGCATTAGTTGATCACTGCAAGCCTCTCTTGTCTTGCTCTGTTTTCCATTCTTTTAAAGTCTTATAGAGTGATTTCAAGGTGGCAGCCAAATTTGCAGCTGTCTTGCCCCCTTTTTGACACATATTTCATAGTCTTTTTTAAAAATTTCTTTCCATGTATCTCAAACAATCTGTTCAGCACTCTACATGTTATTTCTCATTGTGTCTCCAGTGGCTCACCTGTACCTCAGGTGTCAACTTGCAGCTGCCTTGCCCCCTTTTTGACACTGTATTTCACAGTCTTTTTTTTAAATTTCTTTCCACGTATCTCAAACAATCTGTTCAGCACTCGACATGTTATTTCTCATTGTGTCCCCAGTGGCTCACCTGTACCTCAGGTGTCAAAATCTGTCAGGTCTAGACCAGGCAGTTTCCCCTGCTGCTCTCAATGCTACGCTGGGCTCCTTCTCCAGCTGCACCTTGCCCTGCAGCCCACTCCCAATCACATCAGGTTACTGTGGAGGTGGCCACTATACAATTTTAGAAGGCTTTTCTTACATGTTGTCTGTGCAGCTCTGACTCTGCTTCTCTGAGCTCCATGTTGCTGTTGTTCCAGTGCTCATGTCGCAGTGACTTAGCAAACCACCTCCCATACTCCTCGGGGCCTATGCTATTGCTGAGGCACCCCCTGCTGCTGTGGCCATGCCATTTGCCACTTCTGTCACACAGCTTGTGTCCTGCTACACACACTATCATTCAGGGGGAACCCAGCACCATCCTGTGTCCTTGATCACATCGGGGTCACCAGTTGTTGCCATCTTATTGCAAAGGTTTCACACCTTCTCAGTGATAGCTCATGGGTAGCTCCTCACAGCACTGACTTTTTCTTCTCAGCACAGCCAACAAACTCCATCTCACATCTCGGCCACCCAACCTGCTCTTTTACAATACCCCTCCTAATTGGATCCAGCTGTGGCCTATTAAGCATTCGGGGGAACCTAGCACCATCCTGTGTCCTTGATCACATCGGGGTCACCAATGGTTGCCATCTTATTGCAAAGGTTTCATACCTTCTCAGTGATATCTCATGGGCAGCTCCTCACAGCACTGACTTTTTCTTCTCAGCACAGCCAACAAACTCCATCTCACATCTCGGCCACCCAACCTGCTCTTTTACAATACCCCTCCTAATTGGATCCAGCTGTGGCCTATTAAGAGCAGGCTTGTTGTTAATGCTTGATAATTAGCACAGCTGTAACTCCTTAGGGGTGAGATTACCTTCACCACTATCTCTATTCTCCTACCTTCTATCTATCCACAACTGCTCTTTTGGTTTCTCTTGGGGCACACTTGTGATAATGGATCTCTTAATGTCAAGTCTTCTTTTTTCCTTTCCTATGGAATTTTTGTGCCTGTGTGACTGGAAGTGTAGGGAAATGCAACTCCACCAAGACTTACTGAAATTTTTTGTGGAGGTTTGTTCTAAAAAAAGTTAGAAGTGGGTACTTATGCTAGAGTCTCTTGTGGTTGTTATGCTGTGTGTCTGTGATCAAATATATGGTTGTCATTCAAGCTAAATAATGAATAAGATACCTGTAAAGTATCTTGTCATGTGACTTTTAGCTAATTGTATCTGTCCCCTACAGTTGAAGGTTTATTATACCTTTACCAAACTCTGAATAGCTTAGTTCATGCCTTTCTGAGAGGGCATTCTCCTGTCTTGCTCTTGGCAAGTGTATGTATGTACATTGTCCATAGCTTGCACATCTGCTCTCTGTCACTGATGGCTGCTTTTCTTTCCTGGCCTTCTTGCAGGTGTCTGGTCAGGAAGACTTTTCCCAGCAATTGTATTCACGGAAGCTGCTGGCTCCACTGTGGCCGAGCTCACTGGGTGTAACAGACAAGTGCCAGTACGTCACCCTGTGCCAGCCAAAGAAACCTGGTGAGCTCCAGTATGCACTGACAGTATGAGTTTGCTGAGGATGGCCAGTTTGTCTGCCTTGCTGTCTCTCTGAGTAGCTTGGGCATGTGCTGCATAAGGCACTTGACAAAGACTCTCTCCTTCTACTTTGTATATGAATTAAATACAATTTTTTTTCCATAGCCTATTGCATTTCTGCCATTTTCTTTCTCTAGTCAGGAGCTGAATGTTCCTCTACCAGTAACACTTGCTCTGTGTGTCTCTTTCATATTCCCAGACTTACGCTTTTGTGCAGTTGTAAACTATGTTCAACAGGCACTGCTTTAATCTCCGGGTGTTTGGGGTGTGGTTTTGGATAGTTTTTGCAAACCACTGTAAAGAAATCATTCCTAAGACTCCGTTAGAATCATGTCTGTTCTCTGCATCCATAGAGAGGATTAATAAACAGAGCCCACACCAAACAGCTTTTGTTAAAATTCTTGAATGTAGAACTTGGATTCAGCCTGATCTCCAGAAATGTTTTTCTCACAGACATTTCCTGGAGCTGCACACCAACTGATCTGCTTGAAAGTCCCTTGAACTTTTGGTGTCTCAGAGAGGACATTCTTACTTTGTGCTGACAATGACTGTTGCACAGCAATAGCTGTGCTCTGTTCTTCCACTTTTACACATCTGTTCTACATGCAGGTTATTAGGTGATTTTTATTATCATGGTATCAGAACGCTTGGGCACAAAAGACTCTCTCAAACTAAAGATCTCTAAGAGGCCCAATGGTCTAAAACATAGGTAGGTGTATAGGTAGGTGTTCCCTGGAGGTGTGACTTTGCTGCAGTTACTTTCTTCTTTTAATTTGTACTTTTCTCTGCAGGGAGACGTGAATACAGCCGTGACTTCCTGCTGCAGTTCCGCTTTTGCGATGTTGCCTGTGAACGACCGCCGCAGCTGGTCCTCCTGGAAGGTGTGACAGATGCTAAACCAGGTATTAACAGGAGACTTGTTAACTTGTCACTCTGCTAGCTCAGTGGAGCCTCTCCACTGAGGACAGACTGAGAGACTTGGACTGGAGAAGAGAAGGCTCCACTGAGGCCTCATTGTGGCCTTCCAGTACTTAAAGTAGGCTTATAAAAAATGAGGGAGAGTGACTGTTTACACAGGCATATAGTGATGGGACTAGGGGTTTTAAACTTCCTAAATGGTTTTAAACTTCCTAAAATTGTTTACATAGAGGGTAGTAAGGCATTGGGCCAGGTTGCCTGGAGTAGTTGTGGATGCCACATCCCTGGAAAATGTTCAAGGCCAGGTTGTGTGGGGCCCTGGGCAGCCTGATATAGTGGGTGACATCCTTGCCCATGGGATAGAGGGATGGAACTAGATGATCTTTAAGGCCTCTTCCAACCCAGGCCATTCTATAATGGTATGATTCTATGATTTCAAGGAAAACATGAAGTGAAGGTAATGCCTGGTGAGGAAAGGGAAAGGAAGAAGGGTGCCCTCTGTGACCATGATTAGATTCCAGGAGAGCTCAGAGAAGTACACTTTCCTCCCTCATACACACTGACTGTGTTCCTTGAGATGCACTGACATTCGGCTTCTTGAAGCTGTTTTGTATAAACTTCCTTTAAGCTGAAACAGATACGTATATTTCTTTTTTCTGCTTCAAGATTTTGGTAGTGGAGAACAGCCTGAAGACTGTAATGATACACGTTGGTCCCAGTATGGATGTCTCTGGAAGCTGGTCTGGGCTTTGTGGCATGGCTGGTTCTGCTTTTTCTGTTCTGCCTTTCTAGACAACCTTTGAGTAAGCTGTAGGCTAAGACAAGCAAACTTTCTTTTGAGAGTAAAGGTTGAAATACCCTGGACTTCGGTAATATTGAATGCTTTAAGGACATGTCCTCAGCAGGACAGAATATGACTTCTCAGTTGTTTGCACTGATCTGCTCTAGGGATGTTCTGTTAGCCTTACAGCTTGTGTTGCCTTTGGATATTTTCCTTTACGATGTGCATGATTGGAAGCTCTCTGCTCTTCTTGGGCAAAAAGATTCATTTGGTTTCAGGAGAGGCTTCTCAGACTTGGGATGAGCAGCCTGTTCTGGGATCTGTGTAGGTCTGGCTGGAATCTCTTTGCTCCTTTGCAGACCGCCCTGCACACTGGCCCAAGCCTGCTGCCATGGTGAAAGACCCTGATCCCCAGCCATTCATCCCAAGGTAACTTGGTGCACCTTCAATGGCCATGGTCTTCAAACTCAGCCTTGTTTTCCTGAGCCCTGAGAATCTGGCCGAAATAAAGAATGAAGTAAATGTGAAAGAGAGTAAGGAGGGCAATCTGGAAGAGCTAGGTCCACCCAGGATTGTCTCAGCAGCTGGGTGCTGTTCTGTCAGCATTGTGTTGGTGAGATTGAGAATGAAGGGCATAGGCACATAAAGGACTGGGTATTGAAGACTAAGTAAATTCACGGTCTGTCTTGCTTTGGTGTATATGGAGCAAATAGTTCTGAAAGATTTTATGTGCTCATAAAGTAGGAGTAGTTTAGACAGTTGCATCAGCAAGGGAACATTCAGCTGTGTCTGCAGTACTGAAAACGTATAATTCTCTTTCTTTTCGTGGTAAATAGTGACTGTTTGTGTGCAGGTGTTCAGGTGTTATCCAGCATGGCCTCAACCTGACCTCTGTCTACAGCCACTTCTTGCCACAGAGGGGACGCCCAGAGGTCACAACAATGCCCATGGGGCTCGGAGCTACTGTTGATTACATTTTCTACTCAGCAGAGCCTGTGGAGAGCAAGGCGGGTGAGTGTGGCAGTGCAGGGCTTATCCCTGTGACATTGAAGAGGACTGTGAGACAGGCCAGATGCATTTCATTAAGCTGGTGGATCTACAGGATCTGTCTTTTAAATAATACACAAGGTGAAAGTAACATTTGCTGATGTACCATGAGAAGACACTGTTTATCTTTGCTGTGAAAAAAATGAGGCTGCTTATGTTCATGTGGACTTTTGAGGAAGCTAGAACAGAATATATTCTTTTCTGTATAAATATCTTACTTGTGCTCCTGTAACAGGCAGTGCTGGGTCCTGAGTTCAAGGCTTGGACTTCTGGTCAGTCTGAGACCACATGCTGTTCTTGGAAGGAGGTGACTCCGGTTCTTTTACAGTGGCACCTCTTCTCTGCTGCCTGAAACAGGAGTTCTGTTTATGAACAACTGCATGTAAATGCATCCAGGAACTCTCTTGGAGCTGATTTGGGTCACGTTGGAATCATGTTTGGGGAGCAGGTTAGGAATGAAGAGATTAATTCCTCCTCAGCGGGGAATCTGAAGTTATTGCTAGGCCACAGTTCAAGAAAGGAACTTCTCATGTAAGCAACTACCTGGTGAATTTAGTGTATTCTTGCTTCCTATGTCTGCAAGTATATGAAACCATGAACAGCAGTATTGTAGGGTGCTCACTGCTTTCACATCTAGGCTCAAAGGTGCATGTAGTGCTTGTGAAGGCTGTCTTCATTTTTCAGGGAAAGAACAGGAAAGCATTGACAAGCATTCCTGTGAGCGTGTAGACTTAATCTGCGGTGCCAGTCTCTGGCTGATGTTTCTTCCCATTTTCTTTGTCAGGTCGCAGGCTGTACAAGGATGGAGCCCTGAAGCTGCTTGGCCGTCTTTCTCTTCTCTCTGAAGATGTCCTCTTGATGGCAAATGGCTTACCAAATCCTTTTTGTTCATCTGATCATCTCTGCCTACTGGCTAGCTTTGGCTTGGAGATCTCCAGCCTCAGAGAGAGTTAGTGTTGGTTCTCTTTCCCTAAAGAAAAGTTGTTCTGAAAACAGCAATTCAGACTCTGGATTGCACAACCTGCTTGCAAGAAAACCCTTTTCCTTGTCATGTCCTAAAAGTCCTTTTCTCCCCTCACACCCTCACTAAACGCAGGGATGGGAGAGTTGGAGTGCTTTTTGCATTGGTATTTTCTGCATCTCTGCAAACCTGAGCTGTGTTCCCAGTGGGCTGCCAGGTGTATTCAGGCATTAGCATCTCTTTAAGAGACCCTTGTTCCACTGCCTTGGTTGGTAGGTGTTTTTGTGCTGCAGGAACCAACATTTATTTGTCCCTTTGTAAGATTTTCAAGGAGCTGGAAAAGAGAGGGGCAATGCTATCTGCTTTTGGTTAGTTTAATTGCTACCAAGGAGCATGGGATGTATATGCCAATATTCTTTCACACCAAAACAAGTTCTTGTAGTTCTTTTCTCAGTAATAGTTCAGTACTTTCAGGGCTAGTTGTTGCATTGCCTTTTAGATTGGATCTGCTAACTGCTTAGAAAAGTCTTTTACTTAATAATCTGTAAGGGCTGACTTGCTGACAGAAGGATTTGTGTGGTGTAATAGTTTCTACAAGAAACTTCTTACTGTGACTAGTGGACCAAGGAATGGGATTGCCAGGAATGGAACAAGGAGTTCTGCAGAGCCACTCACAGCAGCTCTAGAACTGCAGCAAAAGCCTAGAGGCCTTGGGGAAGGCTTCCTTCCTTTCTAGCAGTCTCAGAATGGTACCTGATTTGTCATTTTTAGCAAAAATATTTAGGATCCTCCCAGTGAATATCCTGTGGAAAAAAATTACCCTGAAAGGCATGATAACCCCAGAGCGATGAAAATGGAAGGCATGTGGGAGTCAGCAGAGCCATCAGATGGAAGAGCTGGTCTTGTCACTTGCCCTGTTCTTTGTGCACTCCCTGCTGCGTTCAGCCTGCCAGGGGTCAATAGCCAACCTGCAATGTCCATCTCCTGCGCCAGACTGAAGCCCATGCTGCATCCTTCTTCTGCACCCAGCCATGTTTAGGTGTAGGTAGAACCCTTAGGATCAACTGCTGTCTCTTGACATGTGTTGGGAGGAAGGGGAAGGCTGTGTAACTTGGAGCCAGACTGCAGTCACTTGGATCCCAGCACACCTTTGGTGTCCTATCAGTGTGCTCTTGCAAGCAGTGGCTTGGCCAGTACAAAAGCAATCAAGCTGTACCTGTTCCTAGAGTAAATTCCCCAGTTCAACGTGACATTTGGTGCTCAGTTTTTCCCTAAGATCTGAAACCAGTCTTGACAGAAACCAATATTGGCAGAAACATTATCAATCTTCTGTTCACAAACAAGGCAGAAAATCTGGTCCCACCTCTGGCTTTTGCAGGAACGTACGGGAGACTTAAAACATTGTTTGTTCTTCATGATCTATATTGAAGGACTTTGATATTTTAAATGTTACTTTCTTTATTGAAAAATAAAACACTGCTAATCTGAGAAAATACCACAGAGTAACTGTGGCACTTGTATTTCTGGCTGCTGAACCTCTGGAGACTTGCTTGACAAGGGTTTGCTGGCTGCAAGGTGAAAGAGGGCGATAGGCTACACAAGAAAGTAATGAAGGTTGAAGAGAGGGAGGAAATAAGCCTAATTTAATGTCCCAAGACATCCCTAAATTCCAGAAGGGTCTTCCTTGGCGCTGGATTTGTCTTGCCCCTCCATCCCCCACCTCCCCCTCAGAAAGATTTGCATTCAGGAACCCTTGTCCTCCCTAAGAAAGGAATGCTCCTGATGTTTACAGCTCACTTCTGTAAACTACAAGGTGTGTGAGGGGGAGGGAGTTGTGTTCTGTGCCCTTGTAAGGATTGCAGATTCCCCTCTTGCCCTGCCAGATGGTGTGGTATTTGTCTGGTGATGTGTGGATGGCTTTTGCTACCATTTGTGAGTTTCTGTAAGTGAACAGCAGTCTTGAGGGGGGTGTGAATAATTTTGCCCTTAGGTAATAGTTCTGGCATGGCACTGGTACATGCGGAGGGGTGGATGCAGAGGTTTGCATTTGTATGACTGTTTATCTCACAGTTTGACTGATTTCTGCAAGTACTCTTACTCTGATTTTGTATTTATAAAGAGAGGGAGAGAAAGGGTAAACTGAGAGCTTTGCTTTTTATTTGGCTCAAAAAGCTTGCCAGAAGGCAGCCTGGTTGCAGATGACTCCCTCCTGCTGTTAACATTGTAATAGGAACCTTAGAAGACCTAAAGGTCTAACAACAACCAACCAAAAGCACCATAAAAAATTCTGTGACACATAGTGTTGGCACTTAGAACTTCAGCTGTGTGCTTCTATTGTAATTGCTGGCTGAGTCTGAGGTCAGTTGGTGAGGAGGTGTGTGAGAGTGTGTGTGTGTGTATGTGAAAGCTGCCCATAAGAGAGCCAGACTGAGCTCTCTTGAGACCCATAAGGTGTGCACCATACACCAGCAGATGAACTGGCTGGCCGTGCACTGCCTGAAGCACCCTGCCAGTCCTGTGATATAACTCAGGTGAAGGACCTGTGTTCCAGTATCACAAGTGCTTTTTCCATTTTATATAAACCAAAACCTTGACTTGTGGGAAAATTGCATGGAAGCATCTCAGGGAGATTTTGAGATTCCAGCTATACTTTGCTGGAAAATCTAATGTTGCACAGGTCAAACTAGTGGTTTCCCTTTCCATGCATGAAATAATGTGGTATACACTTGGAATTGTTAAGTTTTTGAACACTGGATCTCAAGTCATGTGCAGAGAAACCCCAGGACAATGCCTACAAGTACCCTTATTCTTCTTTCCGGAGGGTATAGTGTTCCCAGGCTGACTTGCACCTCTCAAAGCCCTGCTTATTCATGTTTTGTTGGGCACTCATAGGTGAAAATATGACAGAAATGCAGGACCATGGCTAGTGACTGTATAGAGACACAAAGGCAGAGTTGAAAACTTGATCTCTGTGTTTATTTTGACCACTGTCACAGGAGCTCTGGTATAGACTCTTACAGAGGTGGTCTGTTTCAGGAAAATAAAACCCCCTGTATTCCAGAGCAATTTGGAGTTAATATTAAAGGGATCTGGAGACCTGTGAATGCCTCTTGAATGTGTGGGATTATAGGAGAGGTTTGGAGGGTGGGGTTGGTAGAAATTTCCTAACTGTAAAATTGCGACTAGCATTGGAGAGTTGGGAGAAAAATAATGTGTTTTGTGATGCTTTAAGAATAGCACCCACAGATACAATCAGAGCCTCTGGTAATGAGAATTGTGATGGGATGCAGAACTGAGATTCCAGATGTAGCTCTTAAAACTGTTTCTGGACCTAAATGCATGATGAGTTTTCATTAACACAGCTTTCTGATGAATTACAGAGGGATCTGTAAATGGTTCTGAAAGTAGAACAGCAGTATCTGCAATGCTCAGAAAGGGGAGGTGTCACACAGGTAATTACCAGCTACATGACCTTAGTAGTGATGTAGTGTTCAGGGAGACTGGTGCTTAGGGGAACTGGTGCCAGAAACCACTGGCAGTGTGTGTATGTTCCCTGTTAGCAGCCTCCTAAGCATGCAGCTGTTCTGCAATCAAGTATTTGACTAAGTATCTTTGCTAAAAAACAGTTTAATTTGCACCACAGCTGCTAGGCTGTATTTAGTTATTCTATTTAGATAGAAGTTGGACTTCCTTCATTTTCTCAGTTTTAAGTTCATTGCTTCAGGAGGTTGCCCTTCATAATCAGTTTTCCCTATTACATGGGATGGGAGGAGTGGTAAACAATATAATTGCTCTAGCTTCTTTCCTGTTCATAATAAATGAAACTTGGCTGCTGTTAGAGGTCCTTTCTCCATGCCTTTTTCTTATGAGCTATTTCTCCAGCAGCTGTTTTCCCATGACTACTCTATCCACTTATCTTTCTGAGTTACTGATGTTTATTTTTTCTGCAGCTGTATTTCTTCAGTTACAAGTTATGGGTGCAATTCTCTAGGGCTAAGTGTTATAAATGCAACATATAAATGGTGTCAAGATGTAAGATAGTGAGTTTCCTCACCCCTGAAGAATTGAGTGGGAGGAGTGGGAGCTCTGAAATGAACACTTAGATGGGAGTAACACTTGTTATATAAAACAAAAAAAACCCAGAGTTTCAGATTTCTTGTTGGTGCTCTGTATGCCGCCTGCTTTGTGAAGGCAGAACTCTGAAATATGCTTGACCTTAGTTTGTCTTCTCTGAGGAGTCTCCAAGAGGTCGTAATAAGTTCAGCATCTCAGCGGATCAAGGTATGAGTCCTGCTCTTAAGGATGTGTTGATGATGGTGTTGGCAAACAGTCTGCAAAGCAGGGTGTTGCTGCAGTCCAATATCTGCTCCCATTGCCACCACCTCACCATTGAACATTTATTGGATGTTTGCAGACATATCCGTGGGTCATCCAAATGCAGATGAGCCCTTTTGTTGCTTACCTAGAGGGGGAGCACATAGTGGGATACCATCTCCTTTCTGGCTTCCTGTTGTGCAGACTAATTGAATTGCTGGCTGTCACCTGCTTCTTACCAGACTGTAACTGCCTGGCCTGTAGTGCTTCCCATAGCACTGTCATGTTGAAATGCACAAGCTGAATTGAATATACTGCACCGTGTTTCTAACTATGACACTGAGTTTCTGAAAGGAACTCACCTGTTAAAATGATAGCCAAGATGACAGATTAAACAGCTGGCATGCCTCTAACTCCTTTTGTCAGCTGTAAACGTGTGGCATCTCCTGTCAAGGCAAGTTGTCCTGCTTCCACTGAAAATGTCATGCTAGTCTTGAAGCTATTTTTTTTTGTTTATTTAAAAAATTATTTTCTTTCAGATTTAGGGTGTACATTCTTATGTTCTTGTATAATAGCTGGAAAATTTTTTGTAACTTTGTTAAGACAAACACAGCAGCTTTCAAGGTCCAGGTCTGTCAAGTAGGAGAACTAAGCTAGACACTGGCTTGTGCTGCAACAAAAGATGTTTGTTCCATCCAGTCTTCAATTTCTACACACCAGGAAAAAAACCCAAAAACTAAACAACAACAGAAAAAAAAGACCAAAAAAACCCAACCAAAAAACCACCAAAACCAAAACTCCCAAAAACCCTTGGCTTCAAGCCTTAGCAATTTTATTCAGTTTTGTGTTATTTTCTTTCTGAATGCAAAGCCTTCTACTTATATTTATTCTATATATTCAGTTATTGGCCAGTGCCTGGAGCTGCTCTTGAACTGGGAGTAGATGAATGCAGTAATTATTCTATAGTTATTCCTCTCCTCCTTTCCTCCCTTAACATGAGGATAGAGATAGGATAGAACTCACTCTTTGCCAAAATAAAAATATAATCCAGGAAAACAAACCTGACTGAGTTAACTTAATTCTGTAATGGGCTGCTACCCACAGCATGTCATATGCCTTTGCCTGCCATAATCCTGCAGTTGCTGCATGAGTGCTGCTCTTAAGGCTCAGTCTTGCTCTCTCATGAATGAATTTCTGTGTGCTTTTAGACATTTGAGAGCCTTAAGTCTTGGGCCTCAGTGTAAAAACTGACAGGGTGTGTTTTTTTGTTTGTTTCTTTTTTTTTATTATTTTCTGCTTCAACATGTTTATCATTACCACAATAAAGATTTTCCACTTAAGGTCCAAGCAGCATAATCTCTAACTGAATTGAAAACTAAAACTGCAGGAACAACCAGTAGCAGGGGAACAGCCTGATGTACGAGGGAGCAGAAAGTCTATGGCTGCATCACTGTTTTGCTATTCTCACTCCACCCTGACCTATACATCCCTAGGGGATATAGGAGTTACCTGATTTAAAGCAAAATGTATAAGGCATGCAGGAGAGGGTGTTTTCAAGCCAGCAGAAGTAGATGTTTAGAACTGTGCAATTACTTTCCCTCAGGGCAGAAGCAGTTCATATAATTAACTTGGCTAAGATGGACTATTGCATGTGTCTTTCTCTTTGGAGTAACAGGGCAGAGAATGTTTATTCCTTTCCTATACACACTGTAGGCTTGCCTACATCCTGGCCCTGGTCCCAGCTATTACTCATTTCCCTGGAGAGAAGGGGTATGTTATGCCTGAAAGATGATAGCCTGAATAAAGTTGGATCCCCTTGCTGGGGATCCTTGCACTGAATCTTGCAGCTGTCCTTTATTAACCCAGCATTTGTCTTGAGAAGTCCTGGTGAGGTCATTAGTCTGGAAGGTCACTAAACAGACTTTGAGCAGAATTGCTTTTCAGGCCAGGAAGGGAGACTGAATTGTACATTGAAAAGCTGAGCAGTGCAAGAAGAGGTTTGTATTAACCCTTACAGTATTGTTTGGTACAGTATTGTAAGAGGGAAATTTTTGATGCTGCCTGCACTGATTTTTTTTTCCCCCCATCCAGCCTGACTGATGGCAATTCAAGAGGGCAAACATGAATTCTGGCCTTTGCTAAACAGCCACATATGTACTTACTCCAGGGCAACTGCCTCTGTGTGCAGACATACTCACCTGTTCAGATGATTAGAGGTGGTTGAGGGTTCTTCCATGTCTACTAGTGTAGCAAGTAAAGGACATCTGTACATAATTTGCCTGATACCATCACTCAAGGCTGTCCCTTTGATTTTCAGCTGACATGTAATGGGAAGGTTTAAAGCAAAAAGAAGGACAGTACAGACAATTTGTTTTCTCTGCACAAGCTGAGAGCAGTACAGAGGGAATTTTATTGTCTAAGTGTTAAAGGAAGCTGGAAGAAGTATCAACATGAGGGCCATGGGAAGTGCGGTAAAAACTAAATAAAAATTCTGTGCTGGCTATGTAAGAACACAGAACCACACTGATTAATTACAAAAATACACACATGATACTGTTATTAAAGAAAAAAAACTTTCAATTTCTTAGTTCTGAGCTGTACCAGTGATAAAGATGTAAATGGTTTGGAGCACTCTATCAGTGCTGGAGTAGAATACTGATGTGCATGGAAGGGGACCGCTCTGGTCCCACTAGCACCATCTCAGCCCTGACCTGGAGGGAAACTCTGCTCTGCAGAGATTATGGGGGATTCAGGGGCTTTCTGGGCCTAAACTGAGTTGCTCTTGAGCAGAAAGGGCCAGGGCACCACTGAAGGAGAGTGGTTGTGATACAAGTAAACACCTGCTCAGAAGACACACAGAAATATTAAATTCCCTAAGGAGTTCAGCTTGGCTGTAGAGGGCCATCTCCATCTTTCTCTGGGAGAGCAAACATCAAGCCAGAATAGCACTTGCTTTAAGTAAAATTAGAAATCCATAATGCAGGTCTGAATGTTGTCAGGACAACAGTGCAAGGCCACTGGGATGTGTGGTGTAATTTCAGCCAGACTTGCACACACAATACACCTGCGACACCCCCTGCCTATACCTACTGTTTCATTATCTGGACCCCTTGAAATACTTCACTCAGAAGAAGCAGGTAGCTAAAGCAACCACCTGAAGTGATTAGCCAGTGCCACTGGAGCAAGGTCAAGCCAGTCTAATCCAGACTCTTGCCCTTTGGCTAACAGGAGCTTTCTTCTGTTCATGATGGTTTCTTAAACTCTCAAATTTTAAGGACAGTCATGTTCCAGTCAATACAACACCACACATGAGTCTGCCTTAGGGAGCAGGCACCTGATTAAGGCTTTCACCTGAAATACTTAAAAGAAAATTCATCCTGTTAAGCAGATTTGAAAACAGCAATACAGCTACTATGTGACTATGTTTCAACTACAGTTCTGGAGTAATTTATTCTGATAGATCCAAGGAAACTGTACTGACCCATACCCTCGACCACAGTAACTGAAAAATAAGCACTGAAAAAAAAAGCACTCCATTCCCACCTAAAACAGTTGCAAACACACGTCAATTTCCAAATAACTTCTTTAGCTTCTACCAGTAAAAAAAAAGGTTAGTGTGTCACAGACTGGACACCCAACCCTGCTCATTAATGTACAAAGTTTGTTTCAGAGTGATGCTGTAGCAGAAAGTTTTGCTCACTAATGAATCTGTCCATTAAAAAAATTGCAGTTGGCCAGGTATCAATAGACTTGTCTACATAAAAGTATAAAGAGGGGCTCTTATTTCAAGGTTTGCATTATGTTTAGAATAGTTCTGCCAGTAATAGGTCAGCATTTGTTGAAGTCTTTCAAAGCTCACCTCAGCTTCACATACAATGCAGGCAGTTTCTATCCATTCCTATTGTACACAGTTCCTTTCCACAGAGTTCACAGGACTTGTACTGCAGAACAGACATCATGTGAGACCTGACCACTGAAATTTACATCACAGAGCTACATGAGTGACCCTATTAATATTTAACATAAAAAATTAATAGGACTCCTTGAGATCTATCTTCCTTGTTCTGCAGGCACTAAAGCAGTATGACTTACATTATCATTCCTTCTGTGTAGCTCTAAAGCCTGCAGAAGTGAAAAAGACTCTCAACACCTTTTTCCTTACAGTTAAAGGCAGACAGACCAGAAACCAGACCAAGTAGGTGGGGGAGGAAAGAAGTTGAAGTGCTAAACTTTGTCTTGCACTGCACCCTCAACTTTCTTACAGCATAAAGCTAGATTGCATTAATCCTCTCTGTCATGAAAGAATGTGGTTTTGTTTGTTAGGAAGGAAGCAAAGCTTTGTATTGAAGTGATTCATCCTGTTACAAAGATGGGGGGAGCAAGAGCAAGAAGGGGAGAACTCTATGGTCCTTTTCCAGTTTCTTGTGCCATCTGCTGAACTGGAGATACAGAAACAGTAAGGAGCAGGAATTCTACACAGAGAAACACATTAGAAGGCTTGAAAAGGTCACCCTAGCAGAGCGCACTTGTCTGCTCCTGTGTCCATCTTGAGAAGTTAATCAACATTAGATAAAAGCAAAGAATTAAACACTTCCTAACACATATAACTGTGCAACTAGATCTTGAAAGAGAATGTTCTTGTCTAGCTGCAGCTGAGGATTAAGAGACCTTGAACTCTACCTGTCATTCATACCTTAAACATCCATTTCCTTTGCTTTTTCTAAGCTAATAGCTTTTTCTAAGCTGTTGGCCTCAGTTACATCCTGCAGGAAAGCTCTTAATTACAAAGTCAAACAAAGCATTTTGTTTTAAGCCATTCTGCTGTGGTGATCTAACACTGCTGAACACCCCTGTTGCTCTGCTCTCAAGAAAGCATCATTAACTTGCAGCTGACCCCTCACTTGTCTCATCTGTTATAAAGTCTTCCTCCCACCCCCACATTTCCCCTTTCCATCTAAAAAAGCTCAAGTCTGTCCAGTTATTAAGTGTTCTCTGTATTAAACTAATTACTCTCAAGAGCTCTCCAGTTACTCTGAATTAACCAACCCATTGACTAAACAAAGTCATAGTGAAGATGCATTCTAGGCATCTAATTTTTTTAAAATTCCGGATTTCATCCACTTTATAATAAAATCTGACAGTCAGTTTTCCCTTGCTGACTGCTGCTTGTATTTATCATATGATTCACAGTGGCATCTGAACTTTCAGTCTGCTGCATAGTAAACATTATGCAAAGGCAGTTTGTGGCTTCCAAGTGGCCCATATTATTTACAGGTAGCTGTGGTGCCTTTACAGCTAACATCATCATTAGCATCCAGACACTAAATATGTTAATTTACAGCCACACAAAAATGACCAGAGGACACGTTCAAATGGGTGCTTGGCTCACTGCTGCTGTTAACTTCAGTTGTTGCATGTAGCTGGAACATAAGGGAGTGGACAGGTGTTGCACACACTGTAGAAACTGGCATCCTCTTCTGGATTAACCTTGTCTTGGCTCAGCAGCAAGTTCTGCCACCTTCTTACAGATTTTCCTCCTGGTTGTACAGCACAGCAGAAAAGTACAGACTACAGAGGGAGATTGGAAGGACTGACTGCAATGGTATGGATATGTCTCACAAGTTACATCACAGTTAAGGATGTACAATTAGGAACCTGTAAGGGCTGAGTTAAATCGCTTGTGGGTGGTGCTTCAAGGATTAACTGCTTTAACTAGGCAGAAGATCTGATTTGTTTGGGGTTAAGAACCCATTCTCTGCCACCAAAATAGCTCTACTTATTCTGAGGATGTGGCACAGGAATACCATAACAAAAAAACTAGTAGAGCTAAGCTGCATCATGTTTCTAACAAAGAAAGGAAAGAATAAGCTCAGTTCTAACAAAATTAAATATGTGGTATTTCAGAAAGTTTAGCTCCTTGTCAGTGCTGTGATAAAACAAGACTGTTTCTCACCAGGATACTCCCACTCCCAAGATCAGTTTATGCATCCCCCAGATCTATGCATCCAAATCACTTTAAGACCATGCCGTTCTGACTTCTGGAAATCCCACTGTTCCCATGGCCTAGGCCTCAAATAGAGAGACACTGACAATACTCCAAATTTCTGACAAGCATTACACTGCTGAATCAGTAGTACAACACTCCCCCAAAAGAAGCATAGGAAATAAAAGGCCACAAGTGGCAGAAAGGCCCAGCCCTTTGGGAAAGATTAGTCTAAGTGGTGCTGTTACATACTGCAGCTATCCAAAGAGCCAGAACACAAGCACAGCTCTGGCACTGGGGTAGGGAACTGCTTTCAGGAGGCTCTAGGGTGAGCTGTCAGGAAAGCAGCTGCAATTTCCTTGAGCAGAGCTTCTCACAAACAGGTGTATGCAACTCTGGCACTAACACTACAGGGAGGAAGGAGCAAGAGCCTCGTGAAAAGGAAAAAATGCTTGTAAAACCTTTCACATTATTACATCCTCCTTTAACTTTTTACTCTTAAAACTCGTACCTCACTGACTGGAGTGCCTGCCACAAGCTTTCTAGTAGCAGCCACTAGAAATTAATAGAGAGAAGGCTGATGAACAGACAATGTGAAGTTCAGGTTTTCCACCACCCCCCCGCCCCATCTCCATTGCTGGAACAATTGAGCTCTCTTTGCCTGTTTTCATGTAGCAGTAGTATAGGCATATCCTGATCCAGTCGACCACCAAAGGACCTACAGCAACAGTTCACCAGCATTCCACTGTCTACCCTCTCAGAGACAATGAAATACTTTGAAATAGGCAGGACTAAACATACAGGATGTGGTTTTTTTTCTGGATGAGAATATAAATCAGGCTGAGCAAATTCAGACCTACTCTCACAAGAGCAATGATAAACAAAGTGTTCATAATGACAAAACCAGGAGTTTTTGTACAAGATTCAGGGGCCATCCCATTCCAGCATCACTTCTCCCTCAGCTCTGCAGGCCTTGCAGGGGTTGAAAACTTCTGTGCACACGGGGAAGAAGTACTGTTGACAAGATGCTCCATCTACTTGCTGTCAAGGCAAAGATAGCAAGTCCACTGACCCCACTCATTTAATATTCTTCCTGAAGCAAACTCCCATTGATGTACATATTTTTTTCTTTTTTTTTTTTTTTTTCCTTTTTGTTTTTTAAAAACTAATGTACATTTTTTTTTCTTTTTTTTTTTCCTTTTTCTTTTTTAAAAAATACTTAAGTGAATTAGGATGGTCACCTCTCCCAGAAACAGGCAGGCGAATCCTCTGGGACCCATGGGATCCAGCTCTGGGACTGGCCCACTAGTAAGCACCTGGGAAAACCAGCACTCTCTTTTGCTCCCACTCCCCTGTCCCATTTGTCAGAATCACTGCAGGTGGATCCAGGTCTCAACTGTGGCCAGCAAGAAGTCCATGGAGCCAGGCACAACAAGGCACAGCTCTCTTCATACCCGGATCTGGTACCCATTGAGGTCTGGCATGGCTTTGGAATCAGCAGGCTTCTTCTCACCAGATGGCCTGTGAGCAAAGAAAGTAACAGCTCTTCAGAAACCGTTTTCAGTCAGGTGATGCTGCACATAGAGATGGCAGCACAGGAAAAGGTATACAGAGCTTCAGACTGATCCTGCACTACTGAGGACAGGACTACTCTGCAGCCTCCAGTAATTCTCCCAGTGATCTCAACAGAACAGAATGCAAGTTAGGAAGTAGGAGGTCCACTCTGGAACCCCAGGCTAATATCAGGAAAACAATCTTGCTGACAGCAGAATAATTTTTGCAATCTCTTTGAGGCACAGGTCTGTGAGACACCAGAGCTTGGATCTATGTGAGGTTAAAAGTCAGCTACCAACATGACTGTCTGTTTGAGCTGCCTCCTCTTCCCTGCCAAAACAAGCAAGCAAAAAAACCCAGCTGTCCCCTCGAATCCCTAAGCAATGATAAACTCACAATGGTACTGCTACTGCAGATCAGAGAAATAACCACTGTTCTAAAGAAACCCAACAGGACATGAGAAGGATCCAAAACCAAACAGCAAGGTGGAGTCTGAGTAAAGCAGATGTACTACATAGGTCTCCTGCCCAGCAGCCCCACTCACCGTCGGTCCCCACGGCTGTTTCGCCGATGGGGGCTGGCCTGACCTCTTTGTGGGGAGGAGACATCTTTCTTTCTGTCCTTGGTGGGAGATGGTGGTCCAGTTCCTTTCCCAATCTGCCAGAAAAATAAAATTAAGAGCTGCATGAGCAGAAAGCCAGTGTGAGTAATAACAAAACCCACAAAAACTAACAATGATTTATTATATGGGGAAAAAAAAGAAAAAGGCAAGGCAAATGCATCAAAAATGCAAAAGCCAGAAAAAACAAATTACAGTGACAGCTATGGCTCCAAGGACTGTACACAATCCAACCTAAGCACAACTGCAGCACTGCACAAGCATCCATTAGGGGACCAGCCTGTATAAAATGGGTGGTATTCAGTAAGAAAGAGGCCCCAGCCTCCAATTCACTTTTCACTCCACACATCCAGAAGTAGAAAGTTTCCTGTCACTTCATTCCCCCAGTACACCAGCAACCAGGCAAGGCAGTGGATGTAGCAGTGAGTTACTCCATCTTTGCTGCTTACCTTCAGCCTCATATCACGGGCATGTCTCTCAAGCTCTTTGCGAAAGTCTTCCCGTGTTAGCTTGTCTAGATCCAGGATGGAATGCTTCCACTCAATCTGCTCCACACTGTGTGGGTCATGGGACACGCAGTGGCCCAGCTTCACCTTTTTCAGCGTGTGCCAGCAGCGGCGATACGCCTCCTCGAAGTCAAAGATGAGCTCGCTCAGTGTGCGGAAGACGGGCGCTTTGTACATCAGTTCCTCGCGGCGGCTGATGCCCAGTGCCCCATAGCGGCCGCCAAAGTTCACCCCCAGCACGATGTGTCGGAAGTAGTTCCCTGAGAAGTGGGTTTTGAAGCTGATGGGGAAACGGTCCAGTGTGGTCATGTTGTTGGTGAGGTAACTGACAGCAGCCATTATTCAGGAAATAACTGGTGATAACAGTTTCCTGACAAGACACGTCCTACCTGCTCCAGACCCTCCCAGCCTGTTTAGCAGATTGATTCAGGCATCACATAGACAGGATTTGTTCTCCAGGTCAAGAGCCCAGCTCATTGCAGGCTGCCCTACTTTCATCTGGGTTATGGGGAAAACAGACTTGGCCTCTTCAAGGAGACAGTCAACAAAGGGAAGTTAATTTTGATGCAGTTCTGTGATGCAGAAGTTGCAATGCTAGCGCCTTAAGTGCACTGTATTCCATGACTCCCAAACAGTTAACACTGCAGCATTATTCTTCGGTTTGTTTTAATTTGTTTCACTAGCTACTGTTTCATATACCTTCAGGATAAAAACTCACCAACCTCCACTTTTGAACCATTCACTCACCATCTCTACCCCTCCAGCTGCATGAAGAACCTATAGCCCAAGTACGAGAAACTAAATCTGGAAGATAGCTAGGAAAGATGTGTACTTAAAAATAACACACATCTAGAACTAATAAAGGTATTGCCTAAGCTAGTAAGTGACATACGCCATAATTAGAAGTTGGGGAAGATCTCTAAGTTATTTTAATGCAGAACACATGCAGGCAGTAGGGGAACAATGCTATCCACAAAGGATTTCCTGACCTAACTCTAGCTAGTGTTCTTGCTCCTCTTTAGATGCTCTTTTGTCTTTTATAATCTTATATGGCTGACCAGAGCAGCACCACCCTTCTTGGTGAAGGAGGAGCAACTCCAGAGTTGTTCTGATACTTTAGAGAATTGCTGGGATTTGGATTTCATTGGTGGGGTTTTGTGGGAGAACTGGGGAGGAAAAAAAGAGCAATGTGGGGCTTGGTGACAATATTATCACCACAGTCAAAGCATTACAAGCAAGAGAGCAGAGGCAAAAACACAAGGATGGGCAGACATGCACAACTCTAAGAGGAAAGGATACATTCCCAGGATCACAGCTTCCAGGCATTTTATTGGCAGGGCCTCTTTGGTCATTTCTTTGGCCAGGTCCATCAGCCTGCAGAGTGGGACAAGGGAAAGACGAGGACAGTTAGAGGGCTCGTGGTATGCACTATGGCCAGTTCAGCCCTTTTGCACTATATTTGTTAGTTAAGTTTCCAGGAGAGAGGGTGGCCCACAGAGGATAGGGAACAGAACAAAGTATCTTCTCTTTAAGAAGATATTAAATCCAAACCAGGTCTCTGCCACATGCTGTTGTTGCTTCCAAGGAATTCACTTCAGTGAGTTGCAGCAAAACTGCTTACTGGCCAATGTGGGTTCTCAGGGAGACCACAGCACCAATGTGTCCACAAGTAAAACCCTCAAAGGACCTAGAGCTAGCAGTGTTTGCTACACAAGCCTCAAGGACAATAAAGCCTTCTTCTCTGGCATTAACCCTAGTCCTCTCTGGCATTAACCCTAGTTCAGTGAGTACCATGGAGGAGACCTTGGACTGATTACAAAACAAGGCATTTAGACCCACATAAATCTATGGATTAGACCAAAAGTAAGAAGCCAGTCTTGGGAGATTCTCCATATGCTCTTTAAGAGAGTCAATGAACATCAGGTGCTTATTGCCAGGAACTTCTGGGGCACAACAGTTCCCAAAATCTGCAGTGAGGAGAATACCCCTTCTCCTTCAAAGTATGAGTCACCAAAAACTTAGCGAGCCTAGATTCTGCAGAGGCACTCACAGAAGCTATGAAGTTAGACCTGTAAAAATACTTGGCTTTTGTAGAGCAGGACCTAATTTCAGAATCCCTCAGAAGTTCATATAGTTACATTCCAATTAGAAGCAGGTAGAATATGTACATTTTTGCAATACATTATTTTTGGTCTACTGGATTTACTGATTCATGACAAAAAATCCTACTCTCTTTCTTGAGAAAACCAGACACAGCTATGCTCCAGGCAACAGACAATAAAGTTACCCAAAGCAGGATGCAGCTGCAGTAATGAAAGCCCTAAGTGCCACTAGACCTTGGGCAGGGGATGGAGAAAAAGCAGTGTGTATAGCAGGGCTCCAACAACAAAGAAAGGATTAAATGCTGTAGAGGCTGCCAGCACTTACCCAGTCAGAGGTCTGCTCTTCTTAATCTCAAAGAATTGTGTCCCAGTGTGATTGTACCTGGAAGCAGGAAGTTAAGGGCTTGGCAGCTTGGAAAGTAGAGTTTGAAGAAAACTTGTCTGAAAGACATTCATGTTATTTACTATTCTCACAGCAAAATCATGATCCCACCAATGTAGCAGCAACACAAGAAAATCCCTACCTCCCTTTCCGGCATTTCTCCCACTTACACGTCCTCCATATTTCCACTGTATTTCCTTGTCAATTCTTCTCTTCCTCATACCCACACACAGGTTTCCACTCCAATTCCCAAAGGTTTGTGCTGACAGTACATGCTCTGCTCAGCTTTGCAGTTAGAAAACTGGGGCAGAACAGTTTGATATCTCTTCCTGCCCCAATATGCATATAATACACCCAATGAACAATGAAACACTCATGGTACCTTATTCTAAAATTGACTGGGATCCAATCCAGAGCACAACCACCCTGGATGGGTGAAAGATGTCAAAAGGTCAGCCTTCTTACCTTGAATTAGGGCTGAAGCCAGAGCTAGATTTGTATCTCATCAGTGAGATTAGACTGTGTTTGCATGGCATATACCTGCTCTCCAGCACAATAGGAATGGAGAAATCTCATTCCCAGAACACAGCCACACAGCTCTGCATATAAAGGTGCAGTCACCCTGCTTTTGTGCACAGATGCACAAAAGCAGGGTGACTGAGTATTCTTCATACAGGGAAGAGTGATCGAGTAGGATGACCTGAGAAGGTTTGCCCATCACCTCAACTTGCCCACACCTTAACAATGAGGTGATGCAGTTTGCAGTACACCTGACACTTGGCTGTCAGGATCTCAGATATGTGTTTTTTTAATGAAATACCACTGTAAAGCCACTGACCTAGAAGAATGGGTAGTGGGGAAAGGCCTTTGACAACATGCTCATTTGTTACATGCAGCAAACAGAACCAGAAAGTAACTTGGGCAAAAAAAGGAAAAGAAATGGAGCAGCAAAACAAAACATTATCCCAAGTCCAGCTTCCTGTTTTCAGGGAACAAGTTTCAGTTCTCCTCCAGCCACAACAGGAGGAGCTTTTCTGTTTGTCACAGGGAAAGAAAGTCCTCTTGCTCTTTCTTCCTGGGTATCACACCAGTGAGTAAGGTAACAGCAAAGGATACTGAAGCTCCCTGATGTAGCGCTGTACAGCTTCCAGGCGCTCAGGGATGGGGGTGGACGGCTGGAACACAGGCACACTTGGTATGGGAATCTGAAATGAGCAGCAGAACATAAATCACTTCTTCCAAACCTCTCCAGCTTCTTGCTGAGCTCAGTGGCACATAGCTATAGGGAGCATGTTCCTCTGAAACCAGACCATTTTGCCTGCCCAAAGTGACCACACCAGAAACATTCCTCTTTTTCCACAACGGAAATTGGGAAGGGATTCAGAATGAAGCATCACCACAGAGCTGCAAGAGAAACCATGTGAAAAAGGTCCTGCATTTATGCAACGTTACATTGGACAAAATAGATGGAATTAACTGACAAGGCAAGATACAAGACAGGAAAGTGATCATCTGAGGGAGTGTGGCCTCATTTGAGTATTGAAACTGAAAGGCACAAAATAAAAAATAAAGAGGCAAAAATAGACAATGAGTTTTCCAATATCACCAGAGGGTGGAACAGTCCTGCAAGCAAGGGTAGAAAGGTCCTTCACTGCTTCCTGGCATTTCAGATGAGTTGGCACTGACTAGGACACAGGCTTGACAGCATGACTCCCTGCCCTGCAGTGTCTGGTGTTTTGAATTACATGGTCAGAGAATGACTTCTGGATGTTCACCTTCCAGACTGCTGTCCCATTCTGAGGCCTCAGCCTTATGGGTCCAGTGAGATTTTCCTCACCATTTTCTCTGCAGGTGATAACTGTAGTCTTGTCAGCAGCTGATATAATGGATCTAAGTAAAGACCTGTCCACAGGACAAATAAAAAGAAGACACAAGTTTGGGATGACTGATAGGCTTGGAGAAATAGCCCAATATTTTCTCTCTGAAAGATAGCTAATGCCTTGTATGCACCTTGCTAATATCAGACTGCATCTTTTCTCAGCTGTTTGGCTTTTAACATTTCAGTTCCTTCTCAGACTTCCCCCAGAGCTGGCCTATCCACAGCTATAAAAGAGTGAGTCAGAGCCAGTTCTTCCTTTGAGCCTTCCACTCTGCTGTGCACAACTGCCTCTGCTGGACATGGTTTCATAGCCAGTGGTATTGCTTAGTGCATCCTTCACATGTATTTCTGTGGCCACTCATTTCCATATATCTCCTTCTTCTCTCCTGTGTTGGTACAAGTGACTAGTGAAGCAGGTCAGGCACCTGGAGCAGCTGAAAGCTGAGCCAGCAAGCATGGGTAGTTTTCAGCCAGATCAGTTCCCTGTCCTGGTTTGCCACACGGTTGCACTCTGCTTCTGCCCCCCACGGTGCAAGGACCAGAGACCGCCTGACCTTGAGCTGCTGCCTCTCGCATCACACAGAGGCAGCGGCTGCCTGCTCGCAGGGGGCAGCACAGGCACGGTGCGAGCAGATGTGAAACTGGGTTTGTTCAGCTGCAGCAGGATCAGGGAAGGCTGCAGAGAGTGGCACAGGAATGGAGCCATCTCTGGTAGTGCATGAGCTGAGTCAGTTTGGATGCTGTGAGCTGACACACTGAGTCATAGGAAATAATTTCCAGGCAGAAACAACGAAAGAGGTAACAATCAGGGCAGGCTGACTATTCAGTTTTGGTTTTTTTTCTTCAGCATGGAGACTTTAATGCTTTTCAGTGGAGACAGATTAAGTGCATGTTGACAGCAGAGACTAATGATTCTGGGTAGTTCCTCCTCCCTTTACTAGTACAGACCCCTGATCTCCTTTTCCTCAAAGGACTGTGCAACACTGAGACAGCACAATGGCAATCAGTTCAGCAGGGGACTAGTTAATGTGGAAGAGCCTCCTGCACCTCAAGTAATTAAACTGATGAAAGTACACTGTGCTCTCTCTCAGATCTGGGCCTGCAGCCCAGACTGGGCTACAGTTTCTTTTTGCATCAGGTCTATAGCATTTTAATAGGACAATAGAAGCAGAAGTAGAGGAATAAGGTCTCCATCCCTCAATTCCACACTGACAGGACAAGAGATCCTTGTACTTTTTTCTTCCCCAGCATCATCCAGGGCATATCTCCTAAGAGCTATAAATATTAGTTAGTTTTCACAGTCCTTCAGAAAGCAGAGAATAATTTATTTATAACAGAAAAGATAGGCAATGAGATCTATTTTGACTTCCCTTTAGCTATTATGAAAGCTGAAGAGAGCTCAGATTTCCCAAAGTATATAACCTCTGCCAAGCTTAGCAGACCAAATGAACACACCCTTGATCCCTCATCACTGGTGTGGAGTAGCTGCATCACCTCACTCCTAGATTCATGCACCCTGGCAGGCTGTCTGTATGCATGGGATTGGGACTCTGCTTTCAGAAAGGAGATCTTGAGAACAACCAAGATTTTCATATACATTGGGCCATGCTGTATGTGAGGAAAGGCAGATGGGAGCGAGGCACAGGCAAAGCTCCATCCTCATCGGTACCACAGAGGTGCTCTTCTGGCCAGCCTAGTTTAGCAACAGTTTCTTTTATGGTACTTAGGTGTATCCAAGCTCCTCCCTACTCTTCCTTCTGCAAATAACACAGGAGCAGTATCAGGCTTGGTTGAGAGCCTGACTGAAAAAAACAGATTTTTTTTTTCTGGCTCTCTTGTTCTGAATCCATTAGATGCAACTCTTCCTGTCTTTGCCCTCATAACCATCTCATTTAAAATCCATTTCTTTATGAGCCAAGCACACATCACTTTGTACTTCCAGTTTGGACCCATTTGATGGTTCCAACAGCTTGAAGCAAGGCAATACCCCACCCTGTTGCTGGAAAGAACACAACCTACAGGAGAGTGGCACTCACCCCAAGTCTACTGGAAGGAAATAGAGACTAGAGAAGCTCTCTGAGCTCTCAGACTCCAGTGAGAGACACAACCCCATAAGCTGATCTGTAAACATGTGTCTAATCACAGCCTCCTTCAGTCATAATTTTATAGTATTTTAGTTTATTTACAGCTTTTTAGAGAGTTGTTTCTCCCAACACCCAGTGTGGGCTATGATCCATGGCCAAAATTTTGGAGTAGGTAAGTCACTGTCCCATTCCCAACACCTAAAAAGGACTATTCACCCTCCAGCACATGGAGAGAGCCTGGCTTTTCACAGGAGCTAGCCTTGCAGAGTATACTTACTGCCCTCATTCTCATCTGTTGCACCAGCCTTTCAGAGAAGCTTGATGGCACCGAGACAAGTAGCGATAAGCAGCCCTCAAAGAAAAAAATACATCCCTACAGGGGAGAAGGAGCTAAGGAAACAGAGCTCATCCATCCTTGTGGTTTCCTGAAATCCAGCTACATGCTTAGTGAGCTTGGGAATGGCATCTCAGATGGCAGTGCTGAATACAGTTTACAGATCTATTTCCCAGGGGTGCTAGCAGATGCAAAAAAACCCTCAACAACCCCAAACCCAACAACCCTCAAAACAAAACAGCTCACTTTTGCCTCTTACCACAAGACCTCAGACCTCTGGTGTCCTCTAACTAGGGTGTAACCCTCTTGGATGAAGGCTCTAAAGTGACAACAGTGGAACTTCTTCACATAAGACCAAAACAAGGGACTGAACACTGTATTTCCCCACCTGTCATCCACTGGAGTCTTGTTTGTCAGCTTCTTTCTTCTATTTCCCTCGCCTCTTTTGACCAAATCAATCCTTATTGTTAGGAAATTAGGTAGTGTGTGTTCTGACTGATCTGAAACATGTTTTCAGCCTTCACCTAAGCTCAGGACAAAGTCACAGGAAAGGAAGGAAAACTGAAAAGGAAGGAAAAGTCTAATGGAGTTAGAATAGGGACTGTAATCAGGACTCAGGATTTGTTCCAGCTGCTGCCACTGATGCCTCTGACTCTTTACTGCACAAAGGATGTTGCATCACATGCTTCTCCAGAATTCCTCATGGAAAGCAATATGGATTGGCTGTATAGCATATAATAACATGTTCTTCCATACTTCAAATCACCTTCCCAAGGAGGTAAGTCCTTGCTAAAAAAGCCTGAGATGAAAAAGTGTCATCTTTTTGTATTTGAATTTCCCCTATTAGAGTGATGGGAATACTCTTATAACCTGCCAGTGGAGTGACACACAGAATGTTTGCAGTGTCTTTTGTTCACAGTATGCCAATAAAAGGGAGAGATTTTTCTCCAGCTGAGATGCAATACAGAAAGCAACAATCACAAGAATTCACATTGAAATGTGTCAGTTTGGTACAAGGCTCAGTGAAATGGTCAGTTGTTCCTCTTTTCATAGAGTTCTCTGCAGCAAGGCCAGGAATGTGCTTGGAAATCACACCTGACCCTACACCAGCAATAAGCTCTGCAAGCGTTTGCTAACTCCTCTTAAAACGCTTGGCATGAAAAGTCTTTTCTGACAGACACAGTTCTGTTCCAGAATGCCTTTTGGTGTGGGAGACTGTACCCAAATCAAATTTCTTCAGGTTCAAAGTCTCAACTCCGCCTGTCTCAATCCCCCATCTCAAGTATTTGGGCTCTTCTAAATTTAACTCTCCTCATCTTTTCATCATTCATCCAGTCTTTCTCTTTAGCCACTGCCCATTCCCCCCTTCGCCCTCCAGGCTGCTCACACATTAGCTACCTGAAGCCCGTTTTCCAGCAAGGCCGCAGAAGAAGAGGGTGCTGCTGGCGCACCAGACAGGGCAGAGCCCCGCAGATACCCTCTGGCACTCCGAGTTGAAGTGTGGCTGTGCTTCCAGCAAGAGCAGTCCCGGGGCCCGTTTTTCCCAGGGATCGCTCCCGAGCCGGGGAGACCGGCCTCCTAAGGGGACAGGCGGGCGCCTCCTCCCAGCGGGATGCCGCCGCTTGCCCCTTCCCTCCGTCCGCCCTGTGGGGCCGGTCCGCTCCGGGCGCTTCCGCAGGGACCCCGCGCCGCACCAGCCCCGGGTGAGATCGGGGGGTCTCACCTTGGGCAGGTCGGCGGCGCCCCGGATCCTCTGCGCCACCCGGTCCCCCTCGGGGTGGATCCTGCCCACATGCCGCCACATCCGCTCCCAGGTGGGCTCATCCACGGGCAGCCCGCCGCGGTTGACGAAGAAGGGGACGCCGCCGTCACGAAGATCCTCCTCGCCCTCCTCCTCCTGCTGCTCCTCGTCCCGCGGCGCCGCCGCCTCGCCGGTCGGGGGCTGCCTGGCCGCCGCGGCCCCGTCGCCCTCCGGCATCGGCATCGCCGCGCCCGCACTCAGCGCCTGCCGCCATGGCCGGCTCCGGGCACGGGGCGTCACCGCCCCCGCCTCGCCCCCAGAGATATCAGAGCGGAGGGTTCGCCGCGAGAAGGGGAGAAAAAGCCGGGCGGGGCGGTGCCGGGTGCCGCATCAGGCCGCCGCCGCGGCGGGGGAGGCGCCGGCGGCCCGAGCGCCCGCGGCAGGGCTCTGCGCTCGGGCTGCGGGGCCTGAGGGACGGGCCGGGTGGGCTCAGGGGCGGCAAAACACTGCTGGGAGGCCGGGGCAGGTATCCGTGTTGACATAGCTTTGAGGAACGGAAGAGCTGGGATGAGCTTTCCAGGTAGGAAGCAGTCCGGGTTGGAGAGCGTATTCGATGCTCCTGTAGCACAAAGTAGTGGTGAAGGATGGGCTCTTGTGGAACCGCGCCGCTCATCTAGCGGTGTGCTACATATAGCCAGTCCCCCTCAAGGGAGGGGCCACCAGGGCTCTTCTGCCTGGAAGAGGCAAAATACACCCTACCGGAGGTCTGGAGATGCGCCACAAGTGGAAGATCGAGTGTTTTGCTCTGCTTCATCATCTGGTTTTGTTTCAGCTCTCTTGTAGTGCTGAGAAGTGTGAACTCTCATGGGAGGTTCTCATGCTGCAGGAGACTTGTGAGCCTATTCTCCAGTGTGTGCCTGCTGCATTGGTTGTGTGCTCATCTGTAAGAGCCAGGCTATGCCTCTAACACTGGCTGTGTTTTCTCCCCACCCTGTGGTATTAAGCCATGTTGAAAACTCTAACATAAAAGCGTTCTGTGTTTTAAGTACCAAGTACAAGAAATGTATACAAATTACCGGGTCAGCTACTGAGGAACCCTCTGAAGGGCATCTCAAAATACTTGCATTTAGCACTCCAAACAAAAGGCTGTGGTTCAGCATCAGTGTGGGGAAATACATGCTGGTTGCCATGGAATTTGATGATCCCTGAGAACAGGCTATAGCATTTACAGAGCTGGGTAGAGGATTTCAGAGAGAAATTCCACTTCTTCTGTAGTGCTCTGTAGGCTGTTACTCACATGAGATCATTTCTGAAAGCAAAATACTTGAACACAATTTTTTGTTGAACTCAACATTACCCAAAATGCTGAAAGGTTGATTTTTTTTAAAGGAAAAATAGGCTAAATGTGTATCCCTGCTTCTGCCTTCCAAACAAATCACTAGCATAATTTCATAGATCCTACATTAACTTCTGTAATACTTAAACAAATAAGACACTGAATAAGGATTTTTTTTGAATGGGGACCTTAAGCACTGCAGATTTATCACCTCTGTAAGGTTTTTATTGTTTTTATTGCCTTTGCCTCTTACTTGTGAGCAATTGATGGTTGGTTGAAATTGACCCCTCATATCTAAAGAGGCAGCAAAGCCTGTGACAGGGATCATTCTACAGCCCCTGAAGGGACACATTTTGCAAGAACAGTTCATAACCTCCCATGTCCTCAGTGCCTTCTGCCCCAGTGGTCCTCAGTGCCTATAGAGACACGGGACTGGGAGTGTGCCAGTCATGCACAGGTCTCTATTGGGGGACATCATCTGCACTTTGCTTGAGGGGCAGGTATATTTCCAGTAACAGCACCGCAGAAAGGACAGGGAGCAAGGAGTTTAAATGCTTCTTTTAGAGCTGTGTTGCCTCCCGTGGCTGAAATTAGGCACAGCTGTCCATAGAGGCAAGGATGCTTGTTTTGATTCTGAGCTCCAGCACTAATTCAGGGCTGGTAGTTCATATTGCCTTCTGTACCTCAGCTTTTCTACCTGTTGGAGGGAAATGCTAATAACCCTGACTTGCAGCCAGAGATTTTGTAAAGATTAGTTGGCATTTTTAACACATTAACAACTATTCTTTCTTAAAAGTAAAAATAGTCATAGTAGAAGTGAAATATAATTCTTGTATGTTTCATGTCTTCAAATAGATTCTCAAATCTCTGCTGGAGGAAATGTAGCTGATAAGTATCAGCAGACCTCAAAATAAGCTTATCAAGGAACTTTTGTTTCAGTTTGTATTGGATAATTATTAGGCAGTATCCCTCCCTTCTGACCATCACTCAAATAATTGGTCTGTAGCAGGGGATCTGTGTTTTGAGGTAGTACCATGGCGCTAAGCTTTGTGCAGCTGAAAAAGGATAGAGCAGAGCCATGCCAAGCGAGGCAGTCCCTGCAGTGGGAGCTGGACACAACTGAGGAGACAGCAGAGGACAGAGACTTCATTTCCCCTTCTGCACAGCTTGTGCCTCCGTGCCATGGGGTGCTGCTGCCTGCAGTGCAGGGTGTGTAATGTGCATTAAACAGTGCCTTTCATTTCTGGCAGCACACTGGCTGGGATGATGAGGGACCAGAAGGCATGCAATTTCTGTTTAATAACAGCATAAATTGTTCATTTACCTGTGCTCTGTAGAGGAAGACTCTACAAATGCTCTGTATCACATCTCAGAATGGTTTAAATGGGTGAAACTTTGTTAAGATGAAGTTTTGCTGTTAGTGAAAAAATAAATAACATTGATAAAGGATTGAAATAAAGGCATAAATTATTGGAATATATGCTATTTTTTAAGATATAAAATATTTGATAAAAGTATACAGACTACTTGAGAAATAAATTCTTTCCTCTGTTCTTCTCTGAGATGGGAGGTTTGTCTCTATTAGAGAGGATTTGAAATTAGTTTCTGTGAACATGGAATACATGGATAATGTTCCCTTTGTTTTATAATGTCTTCTAGATTTTTATAAATATTTAATTCTTTTTACTCCTGACAATCATTTGTTCTTACGGTGTCATTTTGGTTTTGGGTTTGGTTTTGTTTTGTTTTTTTTTGGTCTTCAAATACAGTGCAGTATTTTTGTGATCTTTCATAAGACCAAATAAAACAGCTGAGATTTCTTCTTCTGAATGGCAATTTTAGGCCACTGTTTAGTTACATTTTCTTAGTGTGAACTGGAACATCACAATGACTTTAAGGGTTTTTCCCAAACTGCATGATTCTGTGTAACACTGAATGTTGCTTAGAGCATGAGTAGGGGTTGAGCTGTTTTTATCCAACTTGGCCTAACTTTTTGTGATCTAAGGTTCTCTGTGGCACTAACTTCCTTCTTCTGTAACTGTTTTGGACTGGTTCCCTTTTCTGTATTCCTGAAAGAGCTCTGTGAAAAACCTTATGTGACAAATCAACATATTTCTGAATTTATTTCCCAGAGTACTTTGAGGCTATTTCCTTCCCCTTCCTTGTTGTTTTCTTTCTTGGTTTTTTTTTTTTTTTTGTGGTGTTTATTGGTGTGTTTTCTTTCCCTGTGTTCAGTTTTCTCCAACTCACAGTAACAGTACTCCCTTTAGCCTATTGATACAAATGTCTTTACCTGCAGTGAAATTCTGTGCTGTGCAGAAACCCCTGCTGAGATCACTGTGCTGCTGAGCCGTTTGCATGTGCTGCATCAGACCTCTGCCCTGAGCAGGAGTTCTACCTTTGCCCCTAAACTTGCTCTTGCCTTGGCTCTAATCAGGACTGCCTATGCAGATAACAGCAAAGCTTTTGTTATTTGAATACAGGACATGTAACATTTATTCTGTCTGGGAGGTCAACTGGTATAACAGTGCCAGAATTGCCCTGTTTTGTTGGCAGCTAAGAATGACTTCAACAGAGACTGATACAGTGACTCTACACATTTTTCTCTGTTCAGGTGCAGTCATTCTGGTTTCTTTTCATGCATAGATCACACCTAAGAGAGGAGACTTAGATCCAATCAAGCTTTAAAATGTCAGCAAATATTTATGAGGCTTCTGTATTTGTCATAGAATGGTTTGGGTTGGAAGGACCTTAAATTTAATTTAATTTTATTTAATTCAACTCCCCTGCCATGGACAGGGACACCTTCCACTAGATCAGGTTATTCAGAGACCCATCCAGCCTAGTCTTGAACATGGATGGGGCATTCACGACTTCTGTTTCAGTGCCTCACCACTCTCACAGTAAAGAATTTTTTCCTAATATCTGATCTAAACATACCCCCTATCCGTTTGAAACCATTCCCCTTATCCTGTTACTACCTGCACTTGTAAAAAGGTCTTCTCCAGATCTTGTAGCCACCCCAGCTTTGAGTACTGAAAGTGGGTCTACAGGAAAGACCACAGACTGATATGATTTCACATCAAACTGCACTGAAGGGAATATGGCTATAAATATAACAGGTATAAAACACTGTACTTAGCTGGGAAGGAAAAGGGCTTTTTTTCTGAAGGGACTGTGGAACACAAATTGCAAAAAATTGTACCTGTTTTAAAGTTCATTAAATTCTCCAGTGAGCTTTTGAATAAAGGTAGAATTTTATCACCAAATTCTTAATTTCCTTTCTGTCTATCTGATATTGTTTTCTAGAGATTAATAGGAAATGGGCTCCTAGCCCATGAAATATTTTTCCTGTTCTACACTGGTAGAGACAGACACTTCTGAAGGATTTAACTGGAAACAGAATAATGAATACACCAACAGACAGGGTATTTTCTTTTTTGAAAGAACTGCTATCAAAACCCAAAAATGCTTTGTGTGAAATAGAAATCTAAGTGTAATGTTCCTCATCTCCAAACTAGTGTGCTGAGCTTGGTGGAGCACGAGAGCCTTTCTTGTAGAGGTTACAGTGAGCATTCAGTTGTACCTGCAAAAGACAGCACTTCTGTACTAGCCAGGTCAGGAACTTATGTGGAGCCATAGGTTTAATTTCCTGTGCCAAGTCTCGTGCATGCAGTTTGAATGTCTGTCTGTCTAATCATTAACGCTGCAGATTGTCAGTACATTCTGGAACTGGTGCCAACATTTCTTATCATTTTCCAAGTCAAATTGATCCTGATCAGTTTTCACATCTTGGTCCTCAGTGTCTCCAGGTCTAACTTTATCATTTAGCAGTAATAGATGAAAAAAAATATTTCCCCTGATGCCTAAGATAAAACTATTGCAGGAAAGCAACTTTCAGGTGCTGCATGGGTAGAGTTCTGCATGCGTTCCCTCCTCTCTGGTACTCAGTTCTATCTGCACTGCTCTAGTTTTCTTGTTTGTATGCCTGCAGCATATCTCCAAAACATGGAAGGGCAGCTCTTCTCACTCTTCAAATGGAGAAAAGAGATAAAGAACCAGCAAGTGCTTTTATTGTTGGTGAAAAGATACCCGAGCAGGC